TTCCCTCTCTCGCTGTGTCTCTCTCTGTCAAATAAATAAATAAAATCTTTTTAAAAAAAATCTTTGGGGTACTTCTGTTAACTAAATATGAGTCTCCTTTGGTCTCTGACAGTTTGTTAGTCTTTCCGTGGTTTTCATTATCTTGACAGCTTTGAAGAGCTTTGTAGAATTTTCTCTTAATTTGGCTTTGTCTGATGTTTTTCTCATGATTAGACTGGGGTTTGGGGTTTTGAGGGAAGAAAATCACACATGCCAAGGGCCCTCTCATCACTTCCTCTCTGTGTGCACACTGTCCATACCGCACCCCTGCTGGTGGTCACCTTCACCACCTGGTTAAGCTGGTGATTTTGGGGTCTCTCCACCGTGAAGTTAATGACTTTTTTCCCCTTCCAGACTCAGTTCTTCGAAATCGAGTTCCTAAATCCAGCCCACCCCACCCAGGCAGTGAGAATTAAGCTTTACCTTTTGGAATGGGGAATGGGTACATGGAGATAAGTTTAGGTGGAATTCTTCTGTAAGGGACATTTGTCTCTTCTCCTTACTTACAGCAGTAAGAACTCATGTATGTTTATTTTGTATTTTGAGTTTTAATTCAAATTGCTGTATTTCTTTTTGCATTATTATTTTACACAAATCATTCTAGCGTTGGCCATTGGGAGCTCTTTTGGGTTGACTCCTGTGTTTGACATGCTTATCTTTTCATTTTTTTGAATATTGTCTCTTCGGCGCTGTAAAATGCTACAGGCTCAACCTGTTTTTTCTTGCACTGGCCCTCCACTCAACCAGTTCTCTAAGGAGCTGTCAAGGTCTTTTGATTCTTTGCATGATTCACCCTTTTGATATGAAGGAAGGGAAACTATCTCTTAAATAAGATTAGGGGCGCCTGGGTGGCTCAGTGGGTTAAAGCCTCTGCTTTCGGCTCAGGTCGTGATCCCAGGATCCTCTGATCGAGCCCCACATCGGGCTCTCTGCTCTGCGGAGAGCCTGCTTCCTCCTCTCTCTCCCTGCCTACCTCTCTTGCCTACTTGTGACCTCTGTCTGTAAAATAAATAAAATCTTAAAAAATAAATAAATAAGAAGATTAAATCATTTTTCTAATTTGTGTCATTGGTTTTCTTCTCTTAATATTTTAGGTACCACTGTATTTCTTTGCAGGTTTGAAATGCTCTTCTATTTGTGTTAATTCACAAGAACAAAATGTTTTCACTAGGAAGTGAGCTGCTGACTGAATGTATCCGTCGGCTTTATGGAGTAGGATATGCTCATTAGAAGCACTTCTGAGGGCTCACGTTTGGTATTGGCCAGATAAACTACGAGCGTACTTTGTGTTTTCTGGGAATGTTAGTTAACCCTTCAGCTTAGTTCATTGTCAAGATCTGTGTAAATTAGCCTTAGAATTTTAATTAGTAGTAGAACGATGGTTCTTTTTATAACACTAATATCTTTTTAAGGTTTGCTTTTATAATTGTAGAATACATGAAACATATAGCTTTGGTGTAAAATAGCTGTGATCACAGAAGTGTTCCACAGTTTGGGATGGTGGAAATAGCATTTTCTTTGGAGTCAAGAGACATGTATTTTAATCTTGCCTCTGTTTTTAACTTGCTAATAAGAGAAATTCTTAGACTTCATAGATCTCAGTATTCTCATCTGTAAAGGAGAAGAGGATTGGCCAAGACCTTTAAAGTCACCCCCCACCACACACACAAACCTTTTTAACAGCTTTATTGGGGTTTTAAGGTTCCATTTGGCAATTCTCTTTCTTTTTATACTAGAATTTAGCAAGCCACTCTGTGTGTGTGTGTGTGTGTGTGTGTGTGTGTGTGTGTGTGTGTGTAAAATACCGGACTAGATCTAGTGTTACAGCATTCAGGAAAATACTGTGGTACTGGGAGGAAAATCTTAGAGATTTAAAACCCTCCTTATTATTTCCTTTAAAATTATGGCCTTCCCACACAGAATGTATAATTTTCCTTTAACAAGCTCTTATTAGTGATAAAAGTTTGGACAGCGGCCATCTTGAAAGTTAGTGGTTCATCTTCTATTAAGCAGACATGGCTTTCTCCATTCTTTGTTACATACACCCTCACTTTTTGAAGACTTGTTTTTATTTTATTTTATCTTTTTTAGATTTTATTTATTTATTTGACAGAGAGAAACAGCAAGAGAGGGAACACAAGCAGAGGGAGTGGAAGAGGGAGAAGCAGGGCTCTGCCGAGCAGGGAGCCCAACGCAGGGCTCGATCCCAGAACCCTGGGATCATGATCCGAGCCAAAGGCAGACGCTTAACGACTGAGCCACCCAGGCACCCCGAAGACTCATTTTTAAATTGATAATGCACAGAATTTCTCATCTTGTAAAGGAGGATTAGAGGAGATTATGTCTGTTTTAATTCTTTAATACCTGCCTTTATGGAGATGAAGTGGGGGAAATCTCTGTTCCTTGAAACTTGGCTTCCTGACAACAGTTTCCCAAGTTAGGAGCTGGAGAGAGGGCGCGCTTTGGAAACAAAGTGATGTTTTGTGCTGTTGCTTGGATTAGGTTTTAGCCACAATATTTAATTTATATTGATTCTAAATAAACTCAAAGACCCCATCCATTTTTTTAAGTTTAAGAAAGCAGAGGGGTCACTCCAGATCCTAGATGGGATTGAGGAAGGCTGTGATACATAATAAATTCCAGGGCGAATTGCCCCACTAAAGATCACATGGAGGGTTCTGGAAAAAAAGAATTCGGATGATATCCTTGATGTTTTATTAAAATATTACAAACACAGGGGCGCCTGGGTAGCTCAGTGGGTTAAAGCCTCTGCCTTCGGCTCAGGTCATGATCCCAGGGTCCTGGGACCCAGCCCCCCATCGGGCTGTCTGAGCGGCAGGGAGCCTGCTTCCTCCTCTCTCTCTGCCTGCCTCTCTGCCTACTTGTGATCTCTGTCTGCCAAATAAATAAATAAATAATCTTAAAAAAAATATTACAAACAGTATTCTGTACTGTCTGGTGTACTCTGGGATTGTATTACTGTAGGATCATTGTACTTGCAGTGTAGTTTAGTATGCTGTGTTACAAATACAGGTTTTTTTAAACAACTTACTCTATTTAATTTAATTTAATTTTATTTTATTTTTTTTAAAGATTTTATTTATTTATTTGTCAGAGAGAGAGAGGGAGAGAGAGCAAGCACAGGCAGACAGAGTGGCAGGCACAGGCAGAGGAAGAAGCAGGCTCCCTGATGAGCAAGGAGCCCGATGTGGGACTCGATCTCAGGACACTGGGATCATGACCTGAGCCAAAGGCAGCTGCTTAACCAACTGAGCCACCCAGGCGTCCCACTCTATTTAATTTTAAAATTGGTTTTACAAGGTAGAAGTTTTAAAGTTGCTTAATTGCTATTCCATAAAAATTGTTGGACTTTATTATTACTGATTAATTTTATTTACAGCTGTGTGGGACTCAGTCGTTAAGCATCCAACCCTTGGTTTCAGGTCAGGTTATGAGCTCAGGGTTGTGAGATGGAGTCCCACGTTGGGTTCAGTGTAGAGTCAACTTGAGCTTCTCTCTCTCTTTCTCCCTCTGCCCCCCATCCCCCGCTCACGCTCGCTCACTCATGTGCACACTCTCTCTCTGTAAAGAAATAAATTCTTTAAAAAAATTGTTAGACCTTTCATCGTGCTAGGTAAAATAATATTCTCCTAAGGACCTTATTGAGGCTGTATTATTGATTCCTTCAGTAAATAGTTATTGAGAACTTACTTTGGGTTACATTCTTAAATTTGGGAATTGAAAGTTTTTCTGTCTTCTCTAGATTTATTTCTGAGTTTCTGCCATGTTAGGTTCTTTCTGTATTCTCCTTGAATCTATTTCAGAATAGAGGATTTAGTTTCTCTTTTCTTGCATGAGTCCTGCAGAGGCTTTAACAAACAGAAACGTGTTAAAACCCACTATCAGGAATGGGTGAATGTTTTCTGATACTCTTCAGTGAGCGACAGAAAAGGGCGGCAAGTCTACTTTCTTGTGATTCTGGGACTGTTCAAGTTTATCCGCTGGGTTCTTGTTTCAGCTACAAATGGTAATTCAAGTTGCTGTTGTGTTTTTTGTTTTTGTTTTTAATGTCTCATTTTTAAATTTAAATTCAGTTAATTAACATATAATGTGTTATTAGTATCAATCTCATTTTCTTTTCCGCAACGTAAGTATGTATTTTTTAAAGTACTTACAAATGCCTGGGTAAAACATTGTTTTTTCATGGAAAGGTATTTGTGGAGTTGGAGTATTTTTTTAATTTTATGAGAAAAACATGGTTTCAAAGACATGAGTAAGAAATAATCTGCCCTGTACTCATGGATGTTATTCTCTATACTGTAGGCTCTGCGAAGGCAAGGACGGTTTCAGTGTCAGGGCTTTTATTTTCCCCAGATCATCTGATGAGATGTTCAGTCAACAAATGAGTTGATCTGTATTTAAGGACATTGCTTAGATTGGCTCTGTTGGCATGTTTTCAACATTTTGTTGTAAAAATCTTAAGCCTAAACCAAAGGTGAAAGAATTTTTCAATGAACACCTGTATATACACCAAAGATCCTACCATTAACATTTTGGTGTATTTACTGTGGCACATATCTATCTGTGTATTTCTACAGCCATTTATTAATTTACCTTATTTTTGGTGCATTTCAAGGATTTTTCTGGACCGTCACAGAAGCTAATTTGTATCAGGGGCCATGTTTGAATCAGTGAAAGAGAAAGTGATGCGGAGTCGGGCTCGGCTCTCAGATGTAGCTGTGTCACTGACCTCGTATGACATACATGGATAAACTATGATTTCTTGCTAATGTTTTCGTGATTTTAATATTAAACATGAGCATGATCTCCCGATGGAGATTCCTTATCTGCTGACTGTCGTGATGGTAGGAGTGCTGATTGTGTTTGTTTACTGACGCCATTACAGATGGCTCTAATGTTACTTTGTGGGAAACTTAACTTTTCATGTCTTTTCTGGCCAGGAGTAGCGCATCGAAGCCAGAGCAGTGAAGGAGTCAGTTCTCTCAGCAGCTCGCCCTCCAATAGCCTTGAAACCCAGTCTCAGTCTCTCTCACGTTCCCAGAGCATGGATATCGATGGCGTCTCTTGTGAAAAAAGGTAAAGTAAGCCATTTTCCAATAAGCTGTCGGGTTTACGGAAAGGGAGAGATTCAGTCACTTTGGTCTCTAGTCCGCTAGTCCCAAGTGCCAGCCCAGAGATTTATGCCAGTCCTTAGCAAATTAGTGCGAGATCTGTGAGGTTTATAGGTCTTCGTATTATTCGGAAATAGTCTTTATGGAAGTTTTTTTGGTTTTGGCATTGAAATGTCTTTTATGAAATAATGGTATAAGTGGTAAAAAAAATTATTTTAAATTTTTTCTAATGTCCGTATTTTGTACACACTGTGTTGGTGGGCGTATGTCAGTCCCTAAAAATTTCTTCAAAGTTTTACTGACTAGTGAAATTTTTAAATTTCGAAGGGTACAGACAGGTAAGCCACGTACCTTAGGAGCTCCATAAGGGTCAGGATGTCCAGGAATAGGGTCTGTCTGTGCTGTCATAGTGCCATGAGTGGGTGACAGAGTGGCTGGGTACTGAGTCCTTTATTGCTCGGGAAGGCCAGAACCCCCCACCTCCCACCCCAGGACCCAGCTCCTCTGCCCTGAAGCAGCTCCCACAGTTCATGTCAGTGGACCGACAAATACTATTTTCTATGTGCATTATGAGGTAGAAAAGGTTAAGAAGCAGTGGCATAGGGCTTTGGCACTTGGTGGGCTTGGTTTGAGGAACCAGATCAGAGATCACCTTACATTAGGTAAGAATTCAGAAAGGACTGCATTCTCAGGAAAAAGATCAAGTAGGAAAAAAATCCAACCCCACAGAGTAAAAACAATCGTGTTCTTATTACCGTAGCTCTGAGTAGATAAATTGTTAAAAAGCCAAGTCATCTCTGCAGTTTCATGGCCAGTGGGTGACTTCACTGGGTTGAGCACCTGGATTTATGCTCTTGCTATAGTCTGAAAAGCCTCAAGATGAGAACTACTGTCATATACAGTGGAGCCAGGCCTATGCTGTCTGAAAGGCACCTAGCAGAAGCAAACATAAATCATCCATGTCTTCAGAGAATTTCCTTAGAAAAATTGCCAAGAAGTGTGAGCTCATGGTCAGAAATCACAGAATGCACTAGATAAAAGCCAGCATGAGTAAGGGACCCAGAGCAGAAATGACAGAAGTATTCACCTGGAGATTTTGGGGGTTTGGAATTACTAGGTGTGGAATACAAAACACACATGTTTAAATAAATTACAAAGGGAACTGAAAACATGAATAAGGGGAAAGCAACCATAAAAACAATCAAGCACAGTTGAAAAAGAATCGTGTTGAATCTTTAGAAATGAAAAGATCACTCAGATTGAAAACCTGATGCAAGAGTTAGACATAGCTAGATTAGACATAGCTAGAGAATTAACGTACCGACTGGTAGAGCTGAAGAAATTACCCAGAGTGTGCCACAAAAAAAAAATGATGAAACTTGTGCAGTGTATTTAGAGACATAATGGACACACAGCCAAGCTAGACCTCATGGAAATTCAGAAGGAGAGAGTAGGGAGACTTAGAGCAACTCCCCACACCTTGCTTTATTCTATGCTTTTTTTCCTCTATTGGTTGGGAAGCCATTTTCAAAAAGCTAAATGGCTACGAATTTTTCTAGAGTTGATAAATGATATGACTTCTCTGATTCAAAAAGCCCAGAAACTCCCATGCTGATTAAACCAAGGGAAGCTCATATCTGGACATTCTATAGTAAAATTTCCAAATATTGAAGACAAAAGAGCTTTAAAGCAGTCAGAGAGAGCAAAGAGTTTAGCTACCAAGGAATGATAGATGCCTGAACGACGGAGGTCACATGGAGGCATAATAGTATCCAAACGCTGAAAAGTAAATCAGCTGCCCGCTGGGACTTGTGTGCCCTCGTGCACCTGTGTTTCAGGTGCAAGGGTGAAATAAAGACATTTATCGATTCAAAATAAAAACAAATGCACAAACAAAAACAACCTGATAGTCTGCCCCCAGAAGAGCCCAGCTTTTAGCACATGTAGTTGAAAAGGAAGGAGAGTGGCCCCAGGACTGATATCTGCGATGCAAGCCGGAAGAGCGAATGAGGACAATAAATGTGAATCGAAACAAAGACCAGCAGTGTAAAACAGGAGTCACAGTACAGAAAATAACACTGGGGGAGAGAAGGAAAACAGTGAGTTAGACGGAATGTGCTGCACAGCATAGCAGGGAAGCCAGGAGCGGGGTGGTTAGAACAAGCTCTGATGTCCCTGGGCACTTAGGAGAGGGGTGAAGGTACTTGGCCAACTTTTACATTTTGATGTAAGGATACTTGGTAAAACTTCAAGGGTAGCCACTAAAAGAACGGGAATGGAGTATGTCTTCCAAGCCAGTCAAGGGAAAATATGGAATGGGAGTTGGGAGCTTGGGAGAATTTAAGTCAATTCAAAAGGAGGGAAGAAAGAAACACAAGTTTTTAAAAAGGGACAAATGAATAGAAGATCAAAAGAAATGAAAATTGGTCAGTCTCATAATGCATCACAGTGAAAAGGCTTAGATTGGGGTAAAAACAAAACAGAACTCAGCTTTATCCTTGTTTACAGAAGGCACACCTGAAACATTAGGTTAGATCTTCAACCTTTCACTGAAAGCAAAAGAAAGGGAAAAGCCTATCCCACACAGATACTAAACAAGAGAAGACTGGGGTAAACATATTCATAGATTAGATTTTAAGGCACAAAGTATATTAGAAATAAGCACTGTGTACTGTTTAACAGTTTCCAAAATATATGCACTTGGTAAGAGGACAGCAACAGCAGTAAAGCACACAACAGTAAAACTAGGAGAAAGCAACACATAATCATAATGGGAGATTTTAACATTCCTTTCATCCATCAATAAATCAGAAAGAATGAGCATCAGTAAGCATATGAACAAATTAAACCACACAGCTAAAAGCTTGATGTAATTGACAGATACAGAACTTGGCACTCTACAGTTGGAGAACACACATTCTTCCCTAATCCCCAACGACCGGAGAGTTTCTGTGTGATGCGTCACATAGATCATGTTTTCTGACGAGGACATTAAATTAGGTGATTAATAGAAGGAAAAATCCTAAAAATTTCCTCACACAGTTGGCAATTTTTAAAACAGAGCACGCTTCTAAATACAGATCAAAGAAGAAATCATGGGAATTTGAAAGGATCTAGAACTGAACAGTAAGAGATATTCCATGTTATAAGCTGTATGTCGTAGCTAAAGTGGTCCTCAGAAGAAAATAGAAAGCTGTAATATATTATAAATGAAACAGGGAAAAAGAGAATATAAATAAGTCTCAGAAATAAAAGCCCTTTTCTGGGAAGACTCTTTCCCTGCATATGTGCATGGCCGACCCCTCTCTGGTCTGTATTCATGCGGCATTTCTTAGGGTGGCTCACCCCATTTAAAATGGAAAGGCCCAGGGCGCCTGAGTGGCTCAGTGGGTTAAGCCTCTGCCTTCGGCTCGGGTCATGATCTCAGGGTCCTGGGATCGAGCCCTGCATCGGGCTCTCTGCTCGGCAGGGAGCCTGCTTCCGCCTCTCTCTCTCTGCCTGCCTCTCTGCCTACTTCTGATGTCTCTCTCTGTCAAATAAATAAAAAAATAAATCTTTAAAAAAAATGGAAAGGCCTGCACCCTCAGTTGCCCTTTCCTTAATTTTTCCATAGCAGTTATCATTGTATGATATGTTTCACTTATTATGTTCATTGGTGTCTTTCTCCCCCTAACTAGAAGGTAAGCTCCATGACACAGGGGTCGTTTTGTCCCTTTTGTTGGCCCCTCAACCTCTCTGACAGCTAGAACAATGTCTGCATAGAAAGGGGATCTCGGTAATGTTCGTTATTAAAAAAGAATTCCGTGAAAAAAATATAAATGCGCAACATGCAAATAAACATGAAAATCTGGATGAAAATCAAATTCCTGGAAAAACGTTCTCCCAAAATTGACTCAAGAAGAAAGAGAAAACCTGAATGATCAAAAACCAATGAAATAAATTGAATCAGTATTTTTAAATTTTCCAAAGTAAGCCCTTCGCTCATATAATTTTATGGGCAGATTCTGCCATTCTAGTTATACACAAATTTTTCCTGATCATCTTAAAAAATAGGGAATAGTTACCAACCCAATTTACAAAGCTTGTAGGACCTTAATATCAAAACCAGACAAGAATAATATAAAAGAAAAAAATTACATGGTAATCAGGTTCATGAACGTACTTGCAAAAATCTTGAAATACTGATAAATCAAATATTATAACACATAAACAGCAGACAAAGCTTCTGTGGGGCTGGATGCCAGGATAGTGGTTACTGTGGGCTTGCTTGGTTGTGGAAGGGTCATCCGGGTGCTCTTGGAGTGCTGGTAATGCTCTGTTTCTTGATGCGAGTGCTGATTACATCAGTATGTTTCTTTTGTGAAGCTTTATTCAGCCAAACACGCAACGTCATCCATGGATAGGTCTGTACGGATATTTCAGTTGTAAGTTTAAAGTAATAACATAACGTGAGCAACTTGGGTTTATCTCAAGAATGCAAGGGTACAGCATTAGTGAATCTATGAATATTATTCCACACATTGTATATGGAAGAGAAAAGCCGTATAATCTTGGTAGTTGGAAAAGTTTTATAAAAGCCTCAGTCCGTGATAAGAATCTTCGCAAACAGGAAACAGAAAGGTGCCTCCTGAATTAGCAATATGGCAGAGACAGAGTTCAGCGAGTAGACGGGGGCCAAGCGACTAGTTTTGTCCGGTAGACTGTGAGTGGAAGTGACATGTGTCACTTTCAGGTGAAGGCAGTTGAGCCGATGCCTCCTCCATCCCTCTCTTCTCTTGCTCCAGTGACCTTGGAGGCTGTGTATTGCAGATGGCATAGATTAAAGATGGAGTAAGGATGCTTCACTCTCACCAGACTTTGCGTAAGCAAGAAATAACCATTATAGTGTTAAGCCTCTAAGATTTCCAAATGTGTGTGTGTAACCACAGCATAGCCTACCGTATTCTGACTAATATAAAGGATGTCTCTCAAGAAACTACAGCAACTCTCATAGTCTGGGGTGAGAAATTAGAAACACTCCCTTTAAAATCAGGAAAAAGAACAAAGGTGGCTGCTCGCTCTTTTTATGTCTCATCAACACGGGGATCCTACCCAGTGCAATCAAATAAGGGTTAGAGTGGAAGAAATGAAGTAGTTACTATTTGGAGAAGAAATGGTTTTCTACCTAGTAAATCCTACGTGTAAGTAAATAAGTTGTTTCTCAGAGATCTCAGAGTTGTATTACTATGGACTAGCAACAAGAAATTAGAAAACTTAACTTTTAAGAGGTACCATTCCCAATTTCATTTAAAAACATATGGTACCTAGGTATAAATTTAGCAAAAGAAGTGAAAGACTTGGAGAGAAAACAGTGAAAGTTTATTGAAAGACCAGGGGTGCCTGGGTGGCTCAGTCAGTTGAATGGCTGGCTCTTGATCTCTGCTCAGGTCTTGATCTCAGGGTTGTGAGTTCAAGCCCTGCACTGGGCTCCGTGCTAGGTGTGGACCCTGCTTCAAAGAAAAGATTTATTGAAAGACCTCGAAGAAGATCTAAAAACTTGGAGAGAGATGCTTATTATGGACTCAATAACGTAATGATATCCTTTCTCCCAGTTTGATCTCAAGAGTCCGTAAAATTCTAGTGAAAATACCAACAGGATTTTTAGGAAATCTGTGAAGCTGATTCTTAAGTATGTGTGGATGAGCCAGAGGCCAAGAATTGCTAAGACTCTCCTGAAGTAGGAGAGTGAGGTGGTGACATTGACCCAGCAGATATCAAGATTGACTGTGAAGTATCAGAAGTAAGATAGAGTGATTTTTGTTCCGGGACAGGCAGATTATCTAATGGAACAGAAATGAATATCCAGAAAAAGACCCATACGTGTTTACATGGCCACTGGACCTGGGAGAGGTGATTTCATATGAGCTTAAAAAGGATGCTCTTTTCAGTAAATGGTGCTGGGAAAATTATTTATTTAATGTGGGAAAAATTAATATATGTGCTTAACCAGATTTTTGTAATCAGGCTCTGATTGTATGTGTGTCATTTAAAAATGATATGTACAGAAAATAACCTCTAATTTGCTTTTGAAAGTGAGCCTAAGAAAATGCCAACTTAGGAAAAGTTTTTCCAGCAAGTGTAAAAACAGAATGTTTACATCCTAGTATATGAAGAGCCCTTAAAAGTCAATCAGAGAAAATATTTATTATTATTTTGCCTTCTTGACTGATTTTGACTTCTTTGCTTTGTTATTTTGTCTTCTTGACTGATTTTGACCGGTAGTTAAGAACTTCTCCTCAACCAGGAGCTATGACATTGGGTGGGTTTATGAAAGGTAAAAGCCTTATTTGTTTTTTATACTTAAAGCATGTCCCAGGTGGATGTGGATTCAGGAATTGAAAACATGGAGGTTGATGAAAACGATCGAAGAGAAAAGAGGAGCCTCAGCGATAAGGTTGGTAAGAGACGAAGCCCTTGCTTCTGTTTGTAGAACAGGTGATATAAATGCCCTTTTGGTTCTCCCATCTGCACGGTTGATCAGAGTGAGCTGCCCCAGGTCAGCAAATTTCGTTGAGGTGACTCTTTGTTTTGGGGGGAGGAAAAATGGGTAGCTAAGACTGCTCTAATGGAAGGAGAGCTCACTTCTTTCATCCGGGCAGATCCTGAAGTTAGCTTGGTTTCAGATCCATATTTCTGTCAGTAGATGGAGTTGGTAATGAGAAGGAATTTAGCGCTAATTTGAACTTTTTCTGTTGGTCTTTTGCTTATGCAAGTATGTCATCAGATCTTCCGTAGTATTCGGAGGAAAATGGCTGGGAATTGAAGCAAGAATACGTGAAGTCCAGTAGCACTTAGAAGCTCATATAAAATATGAGGTCTTCATATTTTGTTACCGTCTGAGCTTAATTCCCTATAGTTAGACAAAAAGACCTGTTCTGTTTTGGCGGGTGTCCTGGGGGTAGACCTGGCAGAGACCGTTGCGTCACTTCCGGTGTGGTGATCAGGAGTGTTCCGTAGCACGGGGTGGTCACCTGTTGGACTGTGGGCCTTCTAGTGGCACGATGCTTTATTTTGTAGAGTTCTTACGTGTTTCCAGAATTCTTTTATATACGTGATATTTTATCTGTGACAGAAACTAGTGAGTAACATTAAATTCTGGAAAAGTTTTTGGATGAAAATGAGTTCTGTGCTGATGTTATCCTGGTTCTTTGGCGTTCGGGAAAGTAAACAAACAGGATGTATATGCATCCTTTATCTAATTCCTCCCTTGGTGATTGCAGTAATGTCCCTGCTCCTTTGTCCACCCCCGTAGATAGTTGTAAGCGGATGAAACCTCCATGTGGTGCTGAAGTCAGAGTAACAAGCTTATTTTCCCCTTAGTCAGTGGGTGAACAGTCGTATGCATTTCTAAAATATCCCGATTAATAAATGAGCGACTTGAACTTAACCTGCAAATCTTCTCCCTCACAAGGAGCCTTCCTCGGGTTCAGAAGTGTCCGAAGAGCAGGCCTTGCAGCTGGTCTGTAAGATCTTCCGTGTCTCCTGGAAGGACCGGGACAGAGATGTCATCTTTCTTTCTTCTCTTTCTGCACAATTTAAGCAGAACCCAAAAGAAGGTAGGAATCTAGCTTCACTGTTAAGAGAAAACAAGAGTGTCAGTCAGATCTTTGCCCTTCTGTTACCCACACTCACTTTCTCTTGCTTTGGGGTTAAATGTTTTGACTATAGATACAGTTCTTGATGAGGACACTGCTGTTTGGCCACTGTCCACAGATCTTACTGTAGACTATTTTTTTTTCAACTTTCATCATTTCTCTAGCAGAAAACTATATAAATAAGTTAACGTTCTCCATTATTTAAGTTGAAGTTAATGTCTCTAATAAATAAGAGTCCACTGGACGGTCTCCAGGGATGCTGGGAGAGGTGCTTGGATGACCTGTACTTGCTTGAAGTGCCGATCAGGTCATGTGCAGACCGTAGAGTAAATCTCGATCAAATTGCTTAGCGGGCTAAAACATTGATATTTTGCTGTGTTTCCAGGATTCTATTTTAAGAGGCTACCCTAAACCGTACTTCTATAACAAAGCAATAAAACGTCTAGCAAGATGGCAGCATTTCGGGCACTGACACTCTTCTTTACAGAAGTCATTTGGAATGTGGAAGAGATGGAGTGGTGTGCTGTGTGTTCCTTTCGTGTCACTCGACCATGACCCTGCTCCCTGATGTATTCCCGGTGCCTAGAAGTGTGCCTTGCACTTAATAATCCCTCTATAGAGGTACTTTAAATGAGTGAAATGAAAAGAAGATTGTCTTTCCCTTTTTTGTGCTGCGCATCTTCCCTGGCAGGAAAAGTCCCTCATGTTCTGGGAGATGGATAGTTCACTTCTGATTTTACTAGGATCTTATTATTATTATGGCTGTAGATGTGAGTCTGGCACCTGTGTGTTTCAAAAGCCTGCCACTTCTTCTTCTTCTTCTTCTTTTTTTTTTTTTTTTTGGGGAGTAACAGCTACTTTTTAAGAAAATTTTTATTCCAGAGAGAGCAAGAGAGTGAGCAATTTGAGGAGTGAAGAGGGTGGGAAGAGGGAGAGGGAGAGCACGACTCTCTACCAGACTCCCTGCTGAGCAAGGAGCCTGACACAGAGCTCGATCTCACAACCCCGTGATCATGATCACAGCCAAAATCAAGAGTCAGGCGCTCAGCTGGCTGAGCCTCCCAGGCGTCCCCTTGTTATTTTTCCTTTTTTTTTTTCTTCCTTTTTTTTTTTTTTTTAAAGATTTTATTTATTTATTTGACAGACAGAGATCACAAGTAGACAGAGAGGCAGGCAGAGAGAGAGGAAGGGAAGCAGGCTCCCCGCTGAGCAGGGAGCCCGATGTGGGACTTGATCCCAGAACCCTGGGATCATGACCTGAGCCGAAGGCAGAGGCTTAACCCACTGAGCCACCCAGGCGCCCCCCCCTTGTTATTTTTCTTATTGTAAACCTTAAGATTCTTAAATCTGTCTTGTACATATATAAGTGACTATTTTTAATAGCCAGATCAGATAAGGTTTACAGTGTTACAGCTCTCGTGTATTTAGTGATATTTAAAATGTATCTGAAGACCTGCCGTAAAACATTTGGGAGCTTCAAAGAATAAGGAAGGAGTTAGAAAATAGAATTTGTTCCAGAAGGCCAGATGGTGACTAAATATTAGAACCTTCATAAAAGATTTTGAACATGGCATTTAGTAGTTTTACTGTGCGTAATACACAGGTTGGTGAAGAAATGTGAACCCAGCTTTGTTTCTAGTACGATAAACAAATCTCTGTAGTCACACAGTTAATATATATGAGCAGCGATTCTCATTGGGTGCGCTCCAATTTTCTTTTTTCTTTTTTTAAGTATGTTTTGTATTTCGGCATGATTTTAGATTTACAGAAGAGTTTTGGAGATCGTGGCAGGAGTTCCCATACACCCTTCACCCAGTTTCCCTAATGTTTCCATCTTATGTAACCATAGTTTAGTTGTCAGAACTAAGATATTACTATTATCTGAACTCGGGCTTCGTTTGGATTTCACCGGTTTTCCCGCAGTGTCCTCTTACTGTTCCAGAATCCAATCCGGACGCCACACTGACCCTCTGGTTCCATTTGGCTGATTCAAGGACTGTGTGTATGAAGAAGCATTGTAACCTCTTCTTTATTCTGCCTTTCCAACAGTGTTCTCTGATTTTAAGGACTTGATTGGCCAGATTTTAATGGAAGTGCTAATGATGTCTGCTCAGACCAGAGATGAAAACCCCTTTGCCAGTCTGACGGCCACGTCTCAGCCAATTGCAGCGGCAGCTTGGTCACCAGACAGAAATCTCATGCTCGCTACCGGCTCCAACCCAGGAACTAGCCCCATGTTCTGCGGCGCGGGGTCCTTCGGCGCCAGCTCTTTCTCGAGGTCAGTGCGGTTCCTTGTGCAGCGCAGAGCTCGGTAGTAGAACAGCCAGGAAGCGCGTGAGGGCAGGGACCGCTCCCTCACGGGCCTTTCAGTCACATGGCGGCGTGGGTTGTGTTCGGGCGGGGGCACTCCGTGGCTGTGCCTTTTCCAGATGGGGTTGTCTGGCTTCCCGTGGTTAGGCAAATGGCTGGATATAGCACATTATTCTTTGGAAAGAAGGCTTTCGTGTACTGTAAATGTAGCCTCAAGATGGGCACGGTGGTCGGGTTATAACCATTTAGATGAGTATCTGAGAGATTCGTACACCTGAATGCTTAGAGATACGAAGTGTCACCGTACTGTTCTTGAAAAGCGTGAGTAGTTTCCATTTTCGTGATTTACCTCAAGTGTGTCTTCAATTTTCTCTTCTTTCCTCTCTTTCCCAACCGATTCAGCCTCTATGAAACTAGCCCAGCTCCCAGTTCAAGTTTCTGGAGCGCGGCGCCAGTGATGAGTCCGTCCTTTGCCTCCTCCCCTGCCCGTGCAGCCAGCCTGATGGCTGGGCCTGCCACTTCCCTCGGCCCCCATGCCGCGGCTCCTGGGTCTGCCGCAGGAAGCCAGCCCTCATCTCCACGGTATCGCCCCTACACCGTCACCCACCCGTGGGGGTCTTCAACTTCTCCTATCCCGCGGTCCCCCGGCATCTCCATTCTGTCCAGCTCGCCCAGCCTCCCCGCCCTCGCTAGTAGCCTTCAAGCGGTGCCCGCCAGCTCTCCCAGACAGAGACCCAGCAGCCTAGGGCCACCTTCCCTGGCCGCATCGCCCAGTGCCGCAAGCAGACGTCCCTCAGCTCTAAGGATCTCTCCTAGGTATTTATTCAGCAGGAGAGCTGGGTGCGTGTTTGCAGTGCAGGGAGAGGCGATTAACTCGCTTTGGAAGGACTGGTGTGTGACGCTGACCTCAGTTACGTGTGTTTCCCTGTTTGGGGTTATTAACCTGTGTGTGTAACCAGTCTGGTAGGCTCGCGCCCGAGTCCGTGCTTCTGCCAGGCTTCGATAACCCTAGAAGTTGTGGGTGTCCGTTGTGCGTCCCTTAGTCTGTTCTTACCCCTCACTCTTCCTCCTTCCTGTCCAAAAAAAAAGGAGTCACTTTCCGGTTTTTGAAATCTATCTAGTTCATGTGTCATTGCTCATTACAGATGAAGCGCAGAGGCTGTGGGCAGTTCGACTTGAGAGTTGGGGCTCACAGAGCACTTTTTAGCCCTCCGTACTATGGTCGATCATAGTTGGAATACAGTTAGCCCCGGGGGTGGTGGGAGCAAGTCTGGGCCTGTGCCTCTTACTTCTGACCACTGGTCTGGGCCCGTGCTTGTACCTTGACCCTCTGATTTGAGCCTGTTGGAGAGGAGCCCTAACAGAATGCCACTAATCCAATGTGCCCGGCCCCCCCGCCATGTACCTGCGTGCTTCTGTCATTGAGGTGAATTGTTTTTCTGCATGTCCGTAACCAGAACTTTTAGCATAACATTTAATTAAAAAGGGATAGCAGTTACAAAAGATTTCCACTTCTTGTTTTTTCCTTTGTTCCCTGATGACCTTTTTTGCTTCTGTTGTGGTAGTATGTACGACAGTCCTTTCTCCTTCCTCTTCCTCGCGCTTTCTGGCGACAGTAGTGATGAAGATGAAGAAGAAGATGGTGATGGTGATGATGAAGGTGGTGGTGGTGGTGATGAGTTTTCTTGTGTCCAGTTTGGGTCCAGGTATCGGAGGAATGGAGTCTCACCCCTGCATGTGCATAGGTGCTTAGGAACTAACTTTTATAAGCCCTCACTACGGGCATGCTTCGAATCTAAACAGGGCAGGTGAAATGAGACGGCTGGAGAGGCAGGATGTGGAGAGCTTGCATGGAGTGAGGCGTTAGGACCTTATCCCGGGGTAAAGTGGCACCTAGGGAAGTCTTCCTCATTGTTGCCTGGTAAGTTTGGAGGAACACTTATGTGTAATCATTTGTCAGAGACACAAACAGCGGATTAAAGATGAGTCATCAAGCCTAAGGTCTGAAATGAGGGACCCTTCGTTCATCTATGGCGGGTTTTCTTTTGAACTGCCAGATGTGAGCAAACCGTACACAGCGGGGGCATGTTTCCTTACGTGCGGTTGCATGGACTGCTGCTACTTAGGAATGGCAACGGGTGTGTGTGTGTGTGTGTGTGTGTGTGTGTGTGTTTCCCCCTCTCCTGCCCCAGCCCGGTGTGACAATCTGTTTAAGAGTGTGTGGGGCCATCCCGTCTGGTATAACTGATTCTGCTTTCACTTCTAACCTTAAATTTCACTGATCACCTCCTTGACCACAGTGAAGCTAGACCCTTGTTTAGACAGCCTCTGGAATGACAGTCAAGGCTGACACTTAGTTCATGATGCTGCTGAATGTTCCCCCCAACCCCCGGAAGCCGTGTGAAAAAAGACTGCTTGGGTTCTCTAGGTGACTTTGGGCAAGAAGATATAATAGCACCTTCTTTCTGAACCTCTGACTCATTGTCTTACGATTTTGCTCTTAAATTGAAGTTTCCACTGGATTGATTTGGTATTTGTGCTCAGCACTGTTCAAAAATAACTCCAGGTTATAAATAGAGCCGGCACTAGGCCTTAGGTACACTTCATTAAATTTGACAGCGTTCAGAAGAATCATTAGAGAGAGTACATAAAGAGAGAAAGGAATGTTCGTGCAAGGTTGGATATCGATTCAGGAAGGTTGATATTTGTATTGGGTTGAATGTTGTGTTACTGTTTCTCAAGTAAATTTCCCGAAGGTGGAAGTGTCTTTTTCACATGGATAAAATCCTACTGCGTGATTACGGTAATGCAGACGGCATCCTTTTTAGGAATCTGTTTCCGTACATGATGGAAGTGCTTTGTTAATTGGTTTTACTGTAAATGGTGAGAGAAATGCTCTCTCTCCCTCTCTCCCTATCTCCAGCTTGCGCTCACGAAGATACCAGATTGTGTGCTGCTTTTACTAGCACTACGCTCCTAGCATCCCGGCCTCGTCTCTGATCTAGATTCTGCAGTTACATGGAGAGATAACTGTGTAATGATAGCTCTAAATACTGAGCATCGCAGGCCAGACCCCGTGCCAGCACCCTGCACACATTATCCCTCTGTCCTCACAGCGGCCCTCCCAGCTACCATAAGGAACCTGGGGGACAGGGAGGTCAGTCGCGTAACTAAGTATGCGGCAAGGCCAGAGTCTCCGCACCACCACGCTGTGCTCGCGGTAGCGCTCGTGCTGTTCTCGTCCCTCACTGGCTACCTCACTCCTGAGTGTTTATGCTTTTACTCTGTTCTTGGCAAGGAAATGCCAGCCTTTTACTCGGTAATTACAAAATTCCATTCAGTTGGCAGGTCCTTTGCTGGCTGTTAAAATGGAATCTGATCTCTCCAGATTTTGGCAACTTCATAACTTTCTGAATCGCTTTCAAGCAGAATGTGAGAGGATGTAGAAAAATACATAACTGATTAAGCAAATAGGCACTCAAGAGTGCGTAGGGCCAAAACCAAGAGGAGGTCACAAAAACACTTGTTAATTTGAGTGATCAGGAAGTACCAGGTATTTTCTTGCCAATCGATCTTCCCAGAATTTCATTCACATTCAGGTGAGCAGTTTCTGCACCTGCGCCTTACCCGGTGAGATGAGTGTTGTAGAAGGAGCAACAGGGGCCGCGTCTGTCCCCCTCCGGCCCCCCATCCTGCTCGCCTGGTGACGTTGACAGGTTACAGATGTTTTTGGAAGTGGTTGGGACACACGTTCATATGTTAATTATCTATGGTGGGGACGAGGAGGATTAACTTAAGAAAGGCAGAACATGGCTCCTGTGACGTCCTATAGCCCTCTGTGAGAGGAGCTTTTTGAATTCTGAGGATCGACCTGATGCCGGAGCGAAACGAGCAGAGTGAGAGAATCGTCTTGTAATGAAGATAACATAGCATTTGCTCTGAGGAAAGTTTTTCCAAGTGTTTGCTGGGAAAGAAATCTATTTGTAATTGCTCAGATATTTCAGCAAAGGAGGGTCGGGAACCCGTGTGAATAGAGAAAGGGACAATTAGCAAATGGTAAAAGATGGTCACATTTACCCTCTCGTTTCTGCTGCCCGTCACTGCTTGGAGATGAAACATGGACACACTCCCACCATGTGTGTCTCCAAACCCTCCAGTGACGTCCCTGCTCACACAGAATAAAACACAGAGCCTTGCCCAGACCCACCAGACCCTTGGTCTCACATACACACACGTGCACACACCACACGCGCGTGCATTCCTCCTTTCCGACCTCACATGCCTCCCCTCGCCTACACCTTCTGCTGCTCGCCACCCTGTTCTTTTTTTTTTTTTTAAGATTTTATTTATTTATTAGAGTGAGTGAGAGAGAGAGCATGAGATGGGAGAAGGTCAGAAGGAGAAGCAGACTTCCCACGGAGCTGGGAGCCCAGTGCGGGACTCAGTCCTGGGATTCTGGGATAGTGACCTGAGCCGAAGGCTTGCCCAACCAACTGAGCAATCCAGGTGCCCCTTGCCACCCTGTTCTTGACATCACTTAGCATCATCCCTGATGCCTTAGGCCTTTGCGCTTACTTCCTCACTTTGGACAGCTGTCCCCAAGATGGCTGCATGGCTTGTGCCCCTGACGCCCTCAGGTCCCTGTCTACAGACCATCCTCCCAGAGGGTCATATTACACGTTATATAAAGCACACACGCACACTTACTGCCCTTCTCTGTCCCCATGCTCCGCTTTCGTTGTTTTCATAGCATTCCTGTATTGTTTTGGACTGTCCCCCGCTCTAGAGTGTAATCGCCGTACCAGCAGGCTCTGTTCCATTCTGTGTGCTGGCCCCAGAGCCTACAACAGCGCCTGGAATACACGGCACGCCGTGAACCTTTGTTCAATGAATTCACACTGCTCGAATCCCACTGTTCTGACTTTGCCTTGCACTGAGAAAACACTTTCAAGTCTGCATTCAAAAAAGTGGGTTACATAGGAGAGAGATTATTCATGCCATTATAGAAGAAATTACCAAGGAACATGTTTTCTCGCTGCATTTCAAATGGGATTCGGCTTGCACAGATCTCATGCATGTTGGCTCCCCAGAAGGATTTGCATTGTGTTTCCAAAAGGATTCAGGTATATTTCTATTATGGGACGTAATCACTTTGTTAAATTGGACTGTCAATGTGGTTACCAGAAAACGGCTCTCACATTGTCCCAGAAGGAGGTATAAGTTTGTAGAGACTCACAGGACTGGAATGTGACATATTTCCAATGTGGTATTCCATGTGTCACAGTTGTTAAAAGCATCATGACTTTCAGAATAAGTTGTTTAGGGAAAAATGAAATGTTATTTTAAAACTTTAAGGATGTTTATCTCTAGCATGAACACACGCACACGAACACTACGCCGCTGCCTCCTTCCGCGTGGCTTTCAAAATTGGAGTCCGGTGCTCTCACCTTCAACCTGAAGATCGTTGTGCGTTTTGATCGTTGAGACCTGTGTGAAGTGTTGTTGAGACCGGCCACTGTTCATGCCAGGGGATCGTGGTTTACTTCCCCACCTTTAGGGCCAATCTTAAAATCGGTAATTTGTGGACAAATGCTGGAGTTTAGTCTGCATTTCCTATTTGGTTAAATTTTATTTCATTTTTTTCGTCGTCTTCAGTTCTTGAGAGTTAGCTGAAGTGTTTTTTGGTGTCTGACAGATGATCCCCAAAATATACCAACTTCTTTTAGCTATGAAAATTCTCTAATATATTCTGGGTGCCTTTCATTGCATTGCCTGGAATGAGACAATCTTCTACATACATTGTCACTTTTCATATCTCAGTGAAACAGCTGTGAAGATACCTCAGTTGGCTTTGAGGTGTTTTTTTTTTTGTTGTTTTTTTTTTTTTAAAGATTTTATTTATTTATTTGACAGAGATCACAAGTAGACAGAGAGGTAGGCAGAGAGAGGGAGGGAAGCAGGCTCCCCGCCAAGCAGAGAGCCCGATGCGGGACTCGATCCCAGGACCCTGAGATCATGACCCGAGCCGAAGGCAGTGGCTCAACCCACTGAGCCACCCAGGCGCCCTGGCTTTGAAGTGTTTTAAGTTAAAATTCAGTGGAATGTGTCAGCTGAGGATGGACCCTAGTTTCAGTGGCCACTGCGTAAGCCCGCTGACTTCACGCAGGTGTTTGCGTGCTGGCTGTGGGTACTGACCCAGCTGGCAAGGACTTACCGGCATCAAATGTAAGACGCTTTTCATCAGAAGTGTAAAAATGTGAAAAATTTGGGTCTTATTATCAAGGAAATGTATGGTTGAAATTTTCATTTTAAACATGAGGCAGATCGGTTTTCATTGTTTTCTGCAAGAAGCACTCAAAGGAAAATTAACCTTAGTTGGGTCTGGGGAAAGCCTGTGTTGGTCAAGTTCATCTTTGGAAGTGCAGTGAATAATGGGCTGACATCAGACAGAAGAGGAAAGAATCACAGAGAGCTTAAAACTGAGATGGTGCAGTAAGAAAATATCTCCCATTCCCCTTTCTACTTTTGGGGATTCACCACACTTCTCATATTTGTGGGTGAGTTTTGCTGTTTCTTTCTGATGGTTGCTTTTTTGTCCCACCCCACCCCCCCCAACAATGCTTTCTTCTCTCTTCCGTTCTATCAGACCTGTAGAGCAGATTGTTGGAATTCAGATTTACTAGACTCTGGCCTGAAAGCCTTGGATTTAAAACTGGCATTGTTTTCATCTTTATAGTTTTAATACCATACTTTCATCCAAGGTCAAACCTCTGAGCACCAGGGGTTTGAGCTGCACAGATCCACATATATGTGGATTTTTTCAATAAATATGGTGCAGTACTGTAAATGTATTTTCTCTCCTTTATGGTTTTTGTTTTTTAAGATTTTTTATTTTATTTATTTGACAGAGATCACAAGTAGGCAGAGAGGCAGGCAGAGAGAGAGGAGGAAGCAGACTCCCCATGAAGCAGAGAACCCAACACAGGGCTCGATCCCAGGACCCCAGGATCATGACCCGAGCCGAAGGCAGAAGCTTTAACCCACTGAGCCACCCAGGCGCCCCTCCTTTATGGTTTTCTTTTCTTTTCTTTTTTTTTAAAGATTTTATTTATTTATTTGACAGACAGATTACAAGTAGGCAGAGAGGCAGGCAGAGAGAGAGGGGGGAAGCAGGCTCCCCACTGAACAGAGAGCCCAATGTGGGGCTCGATCCTGGGATCCTGAGATCATGACCTGAGCCGAAGGCAGAGGCTTAAACCACTGAGCCACCCAGGCGCCCCTGGTTTTCTTAACAGTATTTTGGTTTTTTTAGCTTAAGAATAATATTTAAGAATATACTGTAAGAATACAGTATATAATACACATACAAAATACATGGTAATAGACTGTTACGTTATTAGTAAGGCAAAGTAGGCTGTTAGTCATTAAGTTTTTGGGGAATCAGAAGTTAAATGCAATTTTCAGTTGCATGGAGTTGGCACTCCTAAACCCTGTGTTGTTCAAGGGTCAGCTGTATTTTTTTAAAATTCTGAGGTCAGTTATGCATATATTCCAGAATTAGTCATGTATATCTATGCATCTACCTGCATAATGTGTTGTTAATACCTCAATCCCTATTAGTCCTGTTGGTTTCTAGCCTTTAATTGTCTGCCCCAGTCGAAGTGGGCATGGGTGGGTTTTTCAAGGTCATGCTGTTCTTCCCATCCTTTGTCATCTTTCACAGGTAATTTTTTTTGTTAAGTTTATGCTTTCTCATTTCCTTTTCATTTCAAAATTCCTAGCCTCTCTGGTTGCCATGATTACTCTCTTCGTATCTTTCGTGTGTATCAAATAAATTTGTGAGCTAAACATCAGATTTGGTATGTGACTTCTTGATGGCTGATCTCCACTTTGATTTCCTCACACCTAGCCCTTGAGAGAACGTTTGGCTTTGGTCTCGGTGAATAGTTAATTGCTAATCATAACAGTGCTTCGTGCCATGTCCTGATTCTGTTTTACAAAGCACTTCAGTTAGGTTTCCTTTAAGCCTCCCTGCAGAGGAGAAGAGAAGGTTCTAGGGTCAGGTGACAGGCAAGCAGCACAGCCGGAATAGAACCCGAGTTGGGATAACCCTACACAGGATTTTTGTTTTGTTTGTGTTTACTGTACAACTTTGCCTTTTTCATGGAGAGTTTTGGAAATTTTTACGTTAATACAAGTAGGTTTATGTTTCTTTCTATAACTGGACGGTTCTCCTCCTCTGGTCCTATTGCCAAAGGCTGGCTGAAGGCTTTTGAGGTTATGCCAGAAGTCGTGAGAAGGGGTCTTCTTGTTCGCCTTCATTACTTTACGCCTCCTGAGTTCAGTGACAGCAGTAGCATCGTCTTTCTCCACCTCCGAGTCAGCTTGAGTGAAGCTGGCCGGTTTGATTTAAATCCATGTACTAGCCCTTCTAATGCCAAGCCCAGTAACAGTTCCTAGTCCTCCTGGCTTTGTCAGTGGCCATTCCCAGTAAGATAAGGTGTTGGGTCTCTGATCCAACTCTCTTCTTAGGTCAGTACGGTGTTTAGCAGGAGTTCCTGTTGCTGGACTTGGAGCAGGTGCGGTGAGCAGTCCGCTCCGGCCTCGGCTGCATGGGTGTCTGTGCTTTGTCGTGGGTGCAGGGATCCTAACGGGCTTTCTGCTGCAGAAATGCAAACTCTGTCAAAATGATTCATTGAGAAGAGGTAAGAATCACCAATTTTCTTTTCTCTTCTCCGAAGTTTGGGAGCCTCTGGTGGGGCAAGTACCTGGGATTCCTACAGTGACCATTTCACCATTGAGACCTGCAAGGAGACAGACATGCTGAACTACCTCATCGAGTGTTTTGACCGAGTTGGGATAGAGGAAAAAAAAGCACCAAAGGTAATACGAAACAGATCCAGTTAAAAAACCCATCAGAACCTGGTTATTTTTTGATAAATGATCATTTGCCCCCTTTGGCAACATTTCTTCCCTTATTCAGTGAGGAAAGTGGTTCTCCAGCATGTGTTATGTGCCAGGCGCCGTGCTGGGAGCTCAGGGCATTAGCAGTGAATCAAAACACACAAAGAACTCACAGAACCCTCACAGAACGCACGTCCTCGTGGCAGGAAGAAGTGATGGGGGCAAGTGCCATTGCCACCAGGGTCTTACATGGCCCTCACAGTTTCCGGTAGACTGTGACAAGCGTGGTAATAACTGCTCACGGAGGGACCGCCGACCCTGGGCTCCGTCTGTAGGAGCTCAGATCTCACGGTTGTTCGGTTGACCTAGTGTAGGCAGGAATTGTTTTTATTGTACGAAGGAGCAAATGCATCTCGGAGACACTGAGTGATTGTCTGCAGTCACATGAAAGTCACAAAAACGGGATTTAAACTCCAGAAGCTATGCTTTTTCTCCTGTTTCATGCCGACTTTATTGTTATTTCATTCCCTGTTCGTTGTCCACTTCTGGTTTCCCAGACTAGTCCACTTGTCCCCCTGTTAGTCACGTATTTGTGACGGGCCTCTCCGGGGTTTGTCGCACTGAACCTTAGCGGAAGCGGAACATGGGCGCCTCACTCTCCCGCTCTCTCTGCTCTGACTGTGGAGTTGGGCGGAGGCAGCACACGTGGACGATATAGTTACTCTAGTTTGTTTGTCACGAGTCAAGCAAGAGAAAAGCGTGCCGCGTCCTGGAGATGGACGTCTCCTGATTCTTGTCCGTTTTCAACAGCGCAAGCTTATTCTGTTGGTTTTTGCCGTCCTGACCTTGGCCTTCTCTTTCAGACGTGCAGCCAGCCGGCGGTCAGCCAGCTTCTGAGCAACATCCGCTCGCAGTGCATATCCCATACTGCGCTAGTCCTGCAAGGTTCCCTCACGCAGCCAAGGTAGGAGGAACCGGGTGCGCCCGGGGTAGCCGGGAGAGGACTCTGTCTGTCAGCAGACGTCGGGCGTCCGGCCGACTTGCCTCACCTTGGATAATGCACGTTCTCACCTGCAAGATGAAAGGGGTTGACTGGATGACCCAGGAGGTCCCGTTCCTTCTCTGTAACACTAGGAAAATGAAACACTCTCTGTCTGCTTTACCTCTAGACCACTGTTGACATAGGTCAGCACCAAGGCTCCTTGAAATCAGGGGAGAGCTTTGAAAAGAATGTGCAGGTTCTCACTTTCCATGTGCCCTACAGTCTGTTTCTGTTACTCAGTGATAAATAATAGTGGGAGAGCAGTTCGTTCTGGAATCCCCCAAAGTACAGACTACGTTATTGATTGTTTCGGAGGGTCCCACCAAGGTTTCGAGTTCAATGAAAGAGTATTTATGTATTCCATTTCTTTTACTTAAATATCTGAAGGAAAAGTGATGCGAAAACACCTAAGGAAGAAATGGCAAAGTCACAACATTTATTTGTTCTGGTGCTCTTATATTACTCTCTGTTCCAGAACCATCTGTGTGTGAAACTTGTCAAAAAGAAGGAAAAGGTGGGGGCACCTGGCTGCCTCAGTCAGGGGAGCGGGGGACTCTTGATCTGCCAAGTTCGAGTTCGAGTTGGGTATAGAGATTACATAAATAAATGAACCTTAAAAAGGAAAAAAAAAGAAGAAGAAGAAGAAGAAAGAAAGGATAAACATGGATCAAAACCTCAAGAAATATTCTGTGGTTAAAATTAACAAGAGTTTTATTTAAAAGTCCTCACCCATCGCTGATCTTTTTCTTTTCAGTTGGCTGCGCCATAAACAAATAAGTAAAAGAGACCTATAATGCTTCATTTTTGGGGTAATGCTTTATTTTTGAAGGGCTTGACTGTAGGAAAAGATGGCTTCTTTGAAACTTTCTGTAGTCTCTTCATTCAAAAGACCAAAAAGCGATGATGAACAATTTAAGAAGGTTGGTCTTTTGCCAGAATTGTTGTGTAGAATATTTGAGAGATTTAAAGTTTGACGTTTGACTGGACACTTCTGCCGGCGTGACAGCCCGTGCGCCGTATTGTCGCACACTGATGAGCTGAGCCATCGCGGTTTGCCTCTTGTGGGTTCGCAGGTCCATGCAGCAGCCGTCCTTCCTGGTGCCGTATATGCTGTGCAGGAATCTCCCGTATGGCTTCATGCAGGAGCTGGTGCGGACCACTCACCAGGATGAAGAAGTGTTCAAGCAGGTGAGGCTTTGGGAGCTTCTGTGCCAAGGCTGATTTCTCAAGACACCCTCTACTGAAAACTTTGGTTTCAGAATTTGAACACACTTTGTTCTTTGCTCGGAGAGATCTACCTGAGATTTCTCTCTTGAGATAACCAGATTGACAGCTGCATGGTTCAGATCGTTTGTCCATTTCAAGCCGTCAGGCATCGAGTGTTGTAAGCAGTGCTGAGTGCCCTGAGAGGTAAGAAGTCACCTGAGGCTCTGTCCCTGATTTCAAGGTGCTTTCAACACAGGCATGCTAAGAGATGGCACGCGACATGACATGCATTCGCCAGTTGAGTCATGTCGAAAATTAGTTCTCCAAGTTTGCAAAAAGGAGATTAGTAAACCAGCGACCGAATTAGCTCAGTGCAGTCTGCGTACCACACAGGATCTTTTGTCTTCTCGCCACTCAACTGGGAACGATGTCTCATATCTTGCTAATTACTTCTTTCATTAAGTATTCATGCAGTTTTTATATCTCACTGTGTGAAGTCAAGTGAAAATGCAGATTTGGGATATTTAGGAATAAAGCTATTTATTTAGTCTGAAAGGTTTCTTCTGAGGTGAAACTTTGGCATCACGCTTGGTCGCTGTGTTCCGGCCTGTGTCATGACATGAGCACTTGGCCACAGCAGCTCTCACACAAGCTGTTTCCGGTGACGGAAGGATTTTTATGACACTTTCTTATAATTTACCATATGATTGTTTCTTTCTACACAGAACAGAGGCAGTAGCTCTAAGTGATATGATTAATTTTTTTATACCTAATATTATTTGTAACTATTAATTTGAAATCTCAGGAATTGTGTTTTTAGCAGTTTCTAAAATGTTAGTAAAAGAAGAATCCAGAAGCAAAACTCCTAGTTAAGTGTCATGACCGTGTTAGGAATTCATCGACTCCTTCTCTTAGATGATGGTCTTGTTGACTGCAGGAATACTCAAGGCAGCATAGTGAGCTTTTCCTATGTGCAGAGAGAAAAGTGAATTCTGATGAAAATAAACAACCATTAGGCTCCTGAGTGGCTCAGTCAGTTAAGCGTCTGACTCAGTCTCAACTCAGGTCTTGCTCTCAGAGTTGTGGGATCGAGCCCCAGGTCGGCCTCCACTCTGGCATGGAGCCTACTTAAAAAAAGAAAAAGAAAACAGAGAATAAATAACCATCTTGGAAGGTTTAAGGGGAGCCGTCTGTTGTGTACGTGATGTGCATTAATTAGAGTACTTTTCTGCGGCACCCGGCTGGCTCAGTCAGTGGAGCGTACAACTCTTGATCTTGGGGTTGTGAGTTCGACCCCCACATTGGGTAGAAATAACTTAAAAAATAATCTTAAAAAAAAAATGAGAACACTCTCCCTGTTGTACAAGACATCATTTGAGGAACCCAGAGTAGCTTTAGCTCTATAAAATCGGACCAGTGATCAGCTGAAAGGGCTGTGTTATGCTTATCTTATTCATAAAGGAACTGACACAAATGTTGTGAAGTGACCCCTTTGCACATAACATAAAACGAACCAATCCAGTGGCTTTTAGTGCATTCACAGTGTTGTGCACCAGCTGTTTGTTTTTATTTTCCTCCGGTGGCTGGGGCAGATGGGAGTGGGGCAAAGAGAAGCTTAAGCAAGGCCCCACAGGGAGTGTGGAGCCGGGTGTGGGGCTCGATCTCACAACCCTGAGATCATGCCCTGAGCCAAAATCGAAGAGTCAGACGCTTAACCCACCGAGCCACCCAGGTGCCCCCCACTGTTTCTTTTTAATCAGGGCATTCTGATTCCTCTTCTGCCACTCAGTCCTGAACACTCCTTGTCTATCTTCGTATTACCATGTGCTTTTTTCTAGAGAAAAGTGATGAGTGAGTGGCAAATAGCACTTCACCTTTTTGTCTGAAGAGTTGGGCAGATTTGAACTCTTAAATCTTTGACTGAAACTTCAGTCTTCTTTTAATGTTGGAAATGTTCACAGATAAATAGAACAGTAGCTAGAATTTAGGATTGGAGATGAACATTTGTGTTTTTTGTCATTGCTCAAAAGCGTTTATTTGAAAACAAGAGAATCGTTTAAAATACATAAGTCAGGGGCGTCTGGGTGGCTCAGGTGGTTAAGCATCTGCCTTTAGCTCACATCATGATCTCGGGGTCCTGAGATCAAGCCCCACATCGGGCTCTCTGCTCAGCGGGGAGTCTGCTTCTCCCTCTCCTTCTGCCCCTCCTCCTGCTCATCTCTGTCTCAAATAAATAAACAAAAATCTTTAAAAAAAATTAAGTCACATGAATATTATAATGCTTGACTATTTGAAAAATATTATAGCTAATCTTGTCTATTATAAATTAAATCCTACCTGCAAAGAGGATAAGTCTTCTAGAAAACACTAAGATGTTTTCTTCATAGCATTCTGGAAAAATGTATTAAGATTTTTCTAGATTGACCAATTGTGAAATTTATTTTGGTGATTTGGGAAGTTCAGTTTTGTGTTTCTTGATTGTAATACTGTCACTCCCCCATCACCACACCTAAGCTTTACCTGTCCATTTTTAGTTAACTTCTGACAGCACATTACTTCTATCCTGATGGTTTTGAGTTGCAAAAACTGGGGTGATCTCTTCCAGAGCTATCTTTTTATCTCAAGACACTCCACAGACACTTTGTAATCCAGGGCACTTTTTTTTTTTTTTTTTTTTTTTTTTTAAATCCTGGGCTCCTTAAATGACCAGGCTGCACAGTACAGTGGGATGAAATTAGTAGGAAAGGGAATTTTTCAGATTTCCTAGGGGCTTTATAGAGCACTCCCATGTCAACTTGTTGACATTTGGGTTTTCACCTGTTGTTTATACCATCTTCTCCTTAATGTTACTGGTCTGGAATCCCAACCAACTCCCTAAGTGAGTTGGTCAGTGAGTGCATGGTGGCATTTGTAGATGAGCTATGCTGAGCAAATTGTGCATGGTGACAGCGTGCCCTGGTGTTGATGGTAAACTTGGGAAAATAAATCCGGGTGCCCTCGAGCTCTGGCGTCATGTCCGTGCATACATTTTACCACAAATGGAGATAAGTCATTCCAGTCAAGTTTTCTTCTGCATACTCCACATTTACCAGCTACCTCTTTGCTCTGTGTAATTAAAGTTAACGAAATGATGATAATATCCATTACTGGTGTGTTTTTCCTGTTCTCTTCAAAATAGGGAATGATGGAAAGAATCAGAAGGAAGTGGAAGAGTATTTTTAAATACTGATAGAATTGAGAAGATACTGGAACATTTAGTCCAGTTTCTTTATAGATTGTAGGTGCTTCGTTATCAGAAACATAGTCATTGTCGAGATGTGGAGAATTCAGTAGACTAGAGTAAGGACCCTTGGGGACTCCTATAGCGGGCTCAAAAATTGTGAGTTTCTGTTGAGTCACTCGGCGTCCTGCCAGAGAATCGGGGCTCCCCAGATCCTGTTACCTCCGGAAAATCCAGCTATATATATTTCTTTATCATTAGCCTTGTGGAAGGACAGAGCCGCACTCTGTGGCCGGATACCAGACTCCTTTCTAAACAAAACAGCTTTTCCTTGGGGAAGGTGGAAATGCTTAGACATTCAGACTCAGCACTTTATTTTAGCACGCCTCCTGTTCTTACGTTTTCCTAAACTTACATTTCTGATTTTTTTTTCTTACAGATCTTTATCCCCATTTTACAAGGCCTGGCCCTCGCTGCCAAAGAGTGCTCCCTCGATAGTGACTACTTCAAGTACCCCCTCATGGTAAACCTTTGTTCTTTCTCTTTAAGCCGTTCAGTAAACGCTTTCTCCCAGATGATTTTAACATGGACTTTTCTTTCAGGTTATCAGCCTTGTTTTCACACTTAAAACCTTAAAGCACTGTGCTGGCCGCATAGTGTTTGGTGTGCAGGGATGCGTCGGTGAAGACAGGGAGGTAGCAGCCCAGGACATATTCCATGCATGCGAGCTTAGGCAGGAGTCAGTGACACAAGCGCCGGAATGCACTTGGCCTGACGTTGTAGCTTAGGAAAAAGACGATTCTTGGTGGATCCTTCTCCTCCTGGCAACAGGCATGCTGTAATCGGGATGAAATTTTGTTATTTAAAAAAAAAAAAAAACAAAACTATTACAAATACAAGGAGAAGGACAGAGTTATACTAGGAAGAGTAACCCAGCTTTATGAAGTGACTTTCTATAGAAAAATCTCAGAGTAGTTTTCTTGTTCGCCCTCCCCATTTCCTTCAGGCTTCCTGTGGGAAACAGACTGCTTAGCTCATTCACGCACCTACAGCAAGCATAAATCGGACAGACCTTTCCCTAGATGCTCATGGAGGGCCCTGACTGCTGTGAACACACTGGAACCAGAAAGAAAGGAAAAGGCCCTTTTCTTTCTGAATTGGCTCCTTGGAAATTTGGAGAGAAAAATACTCGGACATATGACTAAATATTTTTCAGTCTAGGATGTGAAGGAAAAAAATAACAAAATACGAAATTAGCTAACTCAGTGAATGAATACAATCTTGTATAAATTGAGGCCCTGATTAAATCGATCTTTTTACGGACTTGATTCCGTCTTACATTAAGTCAGTGCTCACTGAGGACCTCTTCTGTGCCAGATACTTGGCTAATTAGACAAGGCACCTTTCTACTAATTGCCCCTGACCCACTACAGAACTCAAGTCCACAACAGTGCAAATGACCACACCGTGATAAATGCTAACACGGGTGAACATGAAGGGGGCCTGTCTCTGTTTTAATCAATCAAAATGGAGCTAAGAGGCAAAGATAGTGTTGGGAAATTAGAGAGCGAAATGGGATTCTTTTTAAAAAACAGCTTTGAATGGATTTATGTCAGGGCTCTTTCTACTGCCCCTGCCGTTCGGGTTTCTAATAAAATTCTGTTAATCCTTTGGCGCGTTATTCTGTCTGTGCCAGATAAGAGGAAGTGAAACCATCTGATTGTTTGAGTCCAGTGATGAAATATTCGAGTGCACATTTGTTCTCAACGAATGATGTAAATGTTCCTTCGCGGTACTGTTAGCTTTTCTGTGGCGGTATGAACGGCTCGATGTTTCAGGAAGGAGCTTTCAGTGTCAGATAGCAACAAAATGTTCTTCTCGGTCAAAAGACAAAGACCTCCATTATGGCAGACAATAGCTTTATTTTATACCATCACTGATGCTTGTCCAGCGGGGAGGGTGCAGTGCGAGGAGAGATAATGGGAGCAGGAAGAGGAAGACCACCGGAGCTGGAACCAGAAACAATTGTGATTGTTCTCTGGCCCAGTGCCTCCTCACGTTGCCATACCCTCGAATCACCTGGGGATCTTTAAAATTAAACACCTGGTGCCTGCCTCCCACACACTGTGGTTCCACTGGTCACGGGTATGGTGAGGATGGGGCCTAGCATTGGGTTTTTCCAGCTCCCCCGGTGATCCCGGTGTGCAGCACTGGTTGGGAACTCCTGCCCTGTGCGGTGAGAACTTTTCCTTCTCGGTGCACCCCAGAGACCTGTCAGGGCCTCCCTGCATGACTCACAAGCAGCTTCCGCGGGCCAGCTCGGGAACTTTGGTAGCTATGTTCAAATCACAGAAAATGGAGCTCACTGTTCAAACAGTGTTTGATTGGAACACGCCGGCTATGTTAAACTGTGTTTATGTCCCTTAAACCTACTTTTCCTGATTCTCTGAGAATGATTGCAGCTCCAAAGGAGAAAACCCTGGAGTTCTCAGAAATATCCGAGATCTTGAAGCCAAGTAAGGCTTTTAAATATGTTCTGAATGTGGTAGCTTATTAGATTGCAATGATAAATAGTCCTGTTTCAGCACTGGCAAGACGAGCCGTCCCAAGTTGATGAAGCATATCTTTTTTTTGACATGGAAAGATGTTAAGTGAAAAAATCACTTTTTGTAAAACTAAACACATGTATTTCAGTGTGGATCAGCACAAAAATATGGCTGGAAAGCTGTTAACTAAAATACCAGCAGAGGTCATCTCTTCGGGTGAGGTTTATGAGTGATTCTTAGTTTCATTTTATATTTCTGTTTCATTTGAGTTTTTTAACAACGTGCAGGTACATCCAAAGAGTAGTGAGGCTCTCAGTGTTTTGGAAGGAACGCTCATGTACTTATGGCAGCATCAGAGCTGCTTCTTGGTATTACATGTGGCGGTCAGTTCAAGATGGAATACCTTTAGGGGCACCTGGGGGGCTCATTGGGTTAAAACCTCTGCCTTTGGCTCGGGTTATGGTCTCGGGGTCCTGGGTTCGGGCCCCGCGTCGGGCTCTCTGCTCAGCAGGGAGCCTGCTTCCCCCTCTCTCTCTGCCTGCCTCTCTGCCTACTTGTGATCTCTCTCTGTCAAATAAATAAATAAAATCTTTGAAAAAAAAAAAAAAGATGGAATACATTTCAATGCCACTTTCTGCCGGGTGCTTGGGGGGCTCAGTTGGTGAAGCATCTGCCTTCAGCTCAGGTCATGATCCCAGGGTCCTGAGATCGAGCCCTGTATCAGGCTTCTTGCTCGGCAAGGGGTCTGCTTCTCCCTCTCCCTCTGCCCCTGTCTCAAATAAATAAATAAAATCTTTTTTTTTAAAATGACACTTTTGGGGGTGCCTGGGTGGCTCAGTCCATTGGGCGGCCACCTTCAGCTCAGGTCATGATCCCAGAGTCCTAGGATTGAACCCTGCATGGGCTCCCTGCTCAGCGGAGAGCCTGCTTCTCCCTCTCCCTCTCCCTGTTGTTCTGTCTACGTGTGCTCTCTTTGTATCTCACTGTCAGATAAATAAATAAAAAATATTTAAAAATAAAATTTAAAATGACACTTTCTGATCTTATTTCTAGGCTTTAGGTGAGCTTTGTGAAACCAAGTTTGGGAAGACCCACCCTGTGTGCAATTTGGTGAGTGACTCCCTGATGGACTTGGCACCGGTTCTAGGGATGTGTAACTCTGAAGATACCCCTTAAGTAACATTGTGTGAAAAAAACATCTCCTAGAGGACATTTAGGTTAGATGCAGGTAACACGTCTGGGTGACTCTCAGTAGTGAAATTGCTTAACCCTACACGTGATTGCCTGGGATAGACTTACTTACGTCCTTCCATGATCTTTGTATAAATATCGTGCAAGGAGGAAAACAAGTCCTGTGGAAAAATGTACTTGAGTCCTTTGATAGTGTAAAAATAGTTGGTCCGAGCGCTATCAAATAGCTTCTCGAAACATAAAAAATCAAAAGACCGTCCTGTGAAAGCATAGAGGAGTCTGGAGGGTTTTCCGCCTCTATCTGAGATAAGAAAAGGCAATAGGGGTCCTAACATGTTCGTGAGCTTTGGGGTCTTGTGTGTTAACTGTCTGCCCGGTCCTGGGGGCTGAGACCCCGCTGAGAACAGGTTGGCTGTCCAGAACTCTGCTCATCACGCTTCCCCCTCACTTACCGGCGTAGCAGCCTGACCTGCCTCTGCCGTTTCTTGCCCAGGTGGCTTCTTTGCCGTTGTGGTTGCCTAAATCCTTAAGCCCCGGCTCTGGGCGGGAGCTGCAGAGACTGTCCTACCTGGGGGCTTTCTTCAGCTTCTCGGTCTTTGCAGAAGACGATGTAAGTACAGTGGCCATTTGTACTTTGCTGCTCTGACGTTCAGATTCCTTCCTTAAATGAACATTGTATATTGATGGAATTTTCCCCTTCTCTTCCCAGGCTAAGGTGGTTGAAAAATATTTCTCAGGGCCCGCCATTACCCTGGAGAACACTCGTGTGGTCAGCCAGTCACTGCAGCATTACCTGGAGCTGGGAAGGGTAGGTGTTCAGGGAGTGAGTTCAGAGGATGAGTAGTGGAGGGGCTGGGTATGAGTAACCGGTGTCTTGAGTAACAACTGCCGTAACAGTAGTATGTGGCCTCCCTGAGAACTGGTTCGGCCTGGAAGCTACGGTTCCAGCCCACTCGTAGGCCTTTAAAACCTGAGAGTGAGCGAGCACCGTTCGTTTGCACACTCGTGCCTCTCAGGTGTGGATTGGCATGCCCTCCGTTCTGAGACTTCTCGGGAGCAAAATTAAAGGCTAACGGTAGCATAATTAAGGTAATTTTGATCCTGTCCCAAAAAGGGAATAGAAACGGTTATTTTATTAAAACTGTAGTTTTAATACAGTTTTATGTATTTGTAGTAGTTTTAAACTACGGTAGTTTAAAACTAAATGTAGTTTTAAAACTGCTTGCGTGCAAATGGTCTTGACACAGTTGAATGTGGACACCCCTGTTCCTCTGGTGGTCGGGCTCTCTTCAAACGAGTGGAAGGAGGAGAGGAGAGGAAGGGAGAGGAAGCCCAGCTGTTCTTGAAGTCAAAAGGAATCATTTTTAAAGTCAAGTCTTAATTTTTTTCTTCTCCCTTTCTAAAATCAATTCCAGCAAGAGCTTTTCAAGATTCTGCACAGTATTCTGTTAAACGGCGAAACCCGTGAGGCTGCTCTCAGTTACATGGCAGCCGTCGTCAACGCCAACATGAAGAAAGCACAGATGCAGGTAGGGTTCAAGAAGCCCGCGTTCACTGATTGGCTAATGTCACTCATCTGGCTTGTCTTCACTCGGCATCTGCCAGGCCTTGTTCTAGGAAATGGAGACACGGTGTTGAGCAGGAGAGAATCTTCCTACTGCTGTGCAGCTATGTTCCACAGGCTATGACGCAAATAAAGCACGTAGAGAACCTGGAAGTAGCCGTGGAGGTACCCGAAGGAGGGTACGGGAGTGAGTTTCGATCACGTGGTGGGGAAGACACCTTTAAGGAGGTGACGGTTGATCAGAGACCGACTGATGTGAAAGTCAACCATGACAAGGCTGGGAAAAGAATTTTCTAGACTCTTGTAAGGACCCAAAGTGGGAATGATCTAGCTTTGGAACAGCCCCATATGCAGAGTTCAGTGGCTTGAAAATAGTGTGCAGGAAGGAGGATGGCGGGTCGGGGACTCCCATCAGGCTACGGCTGACATGGTAAGAACTAGAATGGGACGCCCCTGGGGGTTTTGCAGCAAGAAAACCGCCAGATGTAGCTGTGTGGAAAACGGGCTAAGGTGGGAGGAGCGACAGAAGCAGACCCGAGGAGATCTGGTGGGGAGCCTGGTGGCCTGGACTACCTTGCAAGGGAAGAGAAGTTAAAAGGGCATCTTTCCTATATTACTAATAAGTAATGAATGAATGATGTGACCTTTCTATTGAGAAGAAGAAAAGTGTATAGAGAAAAGTGTGGCCCTGCATCAGACTGCCTGGGTTTCCTTCTCTGGTCCCACGATTTACTAACGGTGGGACCTTTGCCGTTTATTTCTTTGTGCCTCAGTTTCCTAAGTGCTAAATGGGGGTAATAATAGTTCCTAACTGTGGGGTTTCTATCCATAAAGCTATTAGAACAGTGCCTGGTGTGGCATGGACACACAATTGATGGGAACTACCATTATTATAATTGTTATGTCATTAACACAGGACTTCTGTAGTGACGTCAACCAGAAAAACTATTAGTCAGGGGCGCCCGGGTGGCTCATTCGGTAAAGCGTTTGCCTTAGGCTCAGGTCGTGATCCCAGGGTTCTGGGATCGAGTCCCACATCGGGCTCCCTGCTCAGCGGGAGCCTGCTTCTCCCTCTGCCTGCCGCTCCCCCTGCTTGTGCTCCCTCACTCTCTCACTCTCGTTCTCTCTCTGACAAATAAATAAATAAAATCTTAAAAAAAAAAAAAACGGCTGTTAGTCAAACAGTGCTGAGTGAAACTAGGGTTTGATGCTCTTGAGGGGAAATAAGAGAAAGGAAGCAACATTAATTGTGTTTCTACGTAATTCATTTTGAGGATCTTAGGCAAGTCGTTTAGCTCTCTGAGCCTCAGTTTCCCCCTTTGTAAAATGTGAATAGCAGTATCACTGACTTCCATGGGCTCTTCTGAAGATTCAGGGAATGTATAAAATGCTTCACATGGGATTAAGACTCCGTAAAGAGCCCCCTCTGATAGAATGACAATGGTGATGATATATTTCCTCTCATTGACTCTAGGGTGAATGTCTGGTTGCCTTTCTTACACACTTGTGCCCAAATTTCTTTTTAAATCATTATTTTAAATTCCTTTTTCCGTACTCCACAGACAGATGATAGATTGGTATCTACGGACGGATTCATGCTGAATTTCCTTTGGGTGCTGCAGCAGCTAAGTACAAAGATCAAGTTAGAGACGGTGGACCCCGCGTATGTACTCCACCCAAGGTGCCGGATCACTCTCCCTAATGATGAGACGAGAGTGAACGCGACAATGGAGGACGTGAACGACTGGCTGGCGGAGCTGTGTGAGTGACGTTGCTCATTGTGAGATCATTAAAACGCTGCCCTTTTATTTAAACACGTCTCGTAGATTTATTTTGTTTGGATGCTAGTGATTGCTCACAAATTGTTGTTTTCTCTCCAGAAAATTAATTTAAGAGCCAGAGATACACAATAAAAATTAACGCATTAAAAACTTCTTATTTGGGCGCCTGGGTGGCTCAGTGGGTTGAGCCTCTGCCTTCAGCTCAGGTCATGATCTCGGGGTCCTGGAACTGAGCCCCTCATCGGGCTCTCTTCTCAGTGGGGGCCTGCTTCCCCTCTCCGCCTTTGCCTGCCTCTCTGCCTACTTGTCCTCTCTTTCTCGCTGTCAAATAAATAAATAAAATCTTTAAAAAAAAAAAAAAAAAACTTCTTACTTGGCTTAGCCAAAGTCAAATAGATATATAGAACAAGTGGAAGGAAATACACTATTCAGACTAAAACCAAAAAAAAAAAAAAAAAAAAAAAAAAAACAAGAAAAGAAAAAGAAATGTAATAGGGATGCCTGGGTGGCTCAATTGGTTAAGCAGCTGCCTTGGGCTCGGGTCATGATCCCAGGGTCCTGGGATCGAGTCCTTCATTGGGCTCCTTGCTCAGTGGAGACCCTGCTTCTTCCTCTCCCTCTGCCTGCCACTTCCCTGCTTGTGCTCTCTCTCTCTCTCTCTCTGTCAAATAAATAAATAAAATCTTTAAAAATACTCATATAGTAAAAATGGTAGCAGAGACTTAATTATAATATAGATTTTATATATACCAATTAAAGTTCTCCTGAAATATTTTATAGATCTTGATGCATCGTTGGTATTAAAATATGAATATTTTAAAGTGTTAAGTTGTTGATCTTTTTCCTTTCTATGTGATAAGACATATTACTGATGGATATCAGAACCCTATGGCATTTATTTTTTAAATATTATAAAATCCTTCACGGAGTAGGATGAGGGTTCCATGCCTGCCTGGCAGCATCGTGATCAGCTGGGTGCACACATTCTAGAGAAACATGTAAACTATGATAAGAACTAAATATCTGATGAGCAATAAAGTTAGTGTTTGATTAGTACCACTTGAATAAGTAGTAACTAGTATCGTCTTGGAATCATATCATGGACTAGTAAATTCCAGAAGAATCAAAGGGTTAAACATTTAAAATATATATATATAGTATATATATTCTTCATATATATCCTTTATTTTATATGTATTTTTATATTTTATACGTATAATATAAAAATAAAGAAAACATGAAAAAACTGAACAGAGGATTTGACCCAGCCATGAAGGAAACAGAAATTTATAATGATTTAATAAATGAAGCATCTCATCAGAGATGATACGTATATACAGTATCTTAGATAAATATGCTTTTTGTAGAGTGAGATGAAATGAGTATGCAAAATTAAAGAATGAAGCAAAGTATGTCTTATGTTTGATAGAATCATGTCTTTTACAATGTAAACCCGTTATAAATGTATAAGGCCCAAACTGAATTCTACCAAGAGACAGTTTTCTTTTGGGGGACAAAAATGTAAGCAGTATATATCATAGAAAATAAAAGATACTTGCTGGAAAAAATACACATACTAATAGGAATTAGATACAAATTGAAAGAAATTCAGGTTATTGTTGTGTATCTGTAAATTATCCAAAACAGGGGCGTCTGGCTGGTTCAGTCGGTGAAGCTTGGGGCTTTCGATCTCAGGGTTGTGAGTTTGAGCCCCTACATTGTTTGGTGTAGAGATTACTTAAAAATAAAGTCTTTAAAAATAAATAGATAATCCAAAAAACAAAGTGATAAGATAGAATGTAAGTTTGTGAAGAAATAGATGGAATTTAATCAATTTATTTAATGAATTCTAATTTATACCAAAAATTATAATACTGTCATTCTCAATAATTTTACATTTTAGAATATACTGCCAATTCTGGGAGTGGGGTGAAGGAGTGATTTTTCATACAGATCTTCCAAACACTATTTATAATAGAGAAGAATTAGAAGTGGCAGACATGCCCACGGTACGGAAACGGCTTTGGAATCTGTAGATTAACATAGTCTATCAGTATTTTGAGATTCAAGGTGATGTTTCATGGCCTGTGTTGAATTATGGGAATGGTTATATAAAATACATCAGGAAGACTCGTAACGACAGGTTGTTGATGTACGTCTATGCAAACATTTAATCAGACGGGGCAGAATACCTAATCATTCAATGGAGCTCGTGCTGCTTATAACTTAGTCTATATTTTTTAAAAAGCATCCTTAAGCTTCTTGAAAATTCAAGTGTAATTCTGACTTAATTGTGCTTTTCCCCTGATTTAGTCTTGGTAAAGCCTTTATTTAGGGAATCATGTTATTTTTCCTAGATGGAGATCAGCCTCCATTTTCTGAGCCGAAATTCCCTACAGAATGCTTTTTTCTTACCCTGCACGCCCACCACCTCTCCATTCTGCCAAGCTGCCGTCGCTACATCCGCAGACTCCGGGCCATCCGGGAGCTCAATAGGTACGTGCGTGACCCCATGTCCTGGGATTGCCCGAGGTACAAAGCAAGCAGTTCTGTTGTGACCAGTGGATTCGAATGCCGGGAGTGAATATGTTGCAGTGAACCATCTGCTTCTGGTTCCCTGTCCACGGTCCTCAGTCCACCAGAGTTCTTTATGTGGCAGAGTGACCCAGCCTTGGTTTCAGAGAGATCTCAATACTCAGTATGTGGTTTTAGACTTCCCTTAACTTTTTTTTACTGAGTGTGGTGTTGACCAGGAGGCCCTTTAAAGGATCTCCTGAGTTCCAGTCATTCTCCTCCTTCTCTGGACTCTGAAACAGTAACTCTAGTTTCCCTTGATAAAAAAGATCATTGACTCCTGCCATCATGGAATTCCCTTTTTTGCATGTTGGCCTGTGGCATAAGGAACCCAGAATGGCCAGGTAGTAGCCATCAGTTTCCCATTCATTAGCACCATTGCTGTGTTTCTTGACCTAAGCATTTTTCCCCATGTGCCAATGCCTCCAAATCACAGAAATAAGAACCAAACACGTTTCGAGCAGGTCCTTTGGAATAATAATAGTGTGGCCACTGCATTTGGTCCAGGACCTATGTACATGTCTGGCTATGAGAAAAAGTATGTCATATCTCTATCTGTAACTCTGTATCTCTGTGTATCTATCTTGCTAATCACCTGTTAATGCTCATGGTTACTCTGTAGATGCTTTAAGATTTTCTTTCTACACTTATTTGTGTCGTTGGTAAATGATGTCAGTTTTCTTTCCTACACTTTTTTTCTGTGCCTTAGCATACTGGCTATAATTTCTAGTAAAATCTTGACTAGAGGCAGCTTTCTTCTAATTTTTCTATTCTAATTCAATAGGGGAGAGGGTTTTTTTTGTATGTCCTCTGTTATCAGATGAAGAACATTTCCCATTATTTCTAGTATTTTAAAAGTTTTTTATTCCTAACAAAAGTTGAATTTTACTAAATGCTTTTTCCAAAGCTATTGAAGAGATCAGAAATTTTTTTCTCCTCTATTCGGTTAATGTGGTTGAATTATATCAACTAGTTTTCTGATGCTAAACCAGTCTTTCATTCCTGGAATAAACTCAGTTTTTATATTATTGCTTTTATAACTCATTGGATATTCAGTTTGTTAATACTCTGTTTAGGATTTTTGAGTCTATGTTCAAAAGAAAGATGGGCCTACCATTTTCATTTCTTGGTACGTCTTCCTCAGGTTTTAGTATCATGCTTGCCAATGATGAGTTGGGGAGTATTCTCTCTTTTTATGTTCTTTGGAAGAGTTTATTAGGGGCACCTGAGTGGCTCAGTTGTTAAGCATCTGCCTTCTGCTCAGGTCATGATCCCAGGTTCCTGGGATGGAGCCCTGCGTTGGGCTCCCTTCCCCTCCCCCTGCTTGTCTGTCTCTCTTTCTCTCTCAAACAGATAAAATCTTCTCAAAAAAAGAGTTTATATTATAACAGTTAGTTCTTTCTTAAATGTTTGGAAACATTCATTGATAAAGCTATCTGGGCTTAGAGTTTTCTTTATGGGAAAGTTTTTGATTATGTGTTTTATTCTGTTATTAGATATATGACTATTTACACTTTTATTTCATCTTGTGTCAGTATTTCTGTGACATCTAAAGCTTCAAAATTTCTAGGCTTGAAGTTGTTCATAACATCTTTTTATCGTTTTAATGTCTGCAGGGTCTTCATTATTTCCTTCTATATACTTTTAGTTTAAATTTGCTGTTTGTTGATATTTCTGTTGCCTCTTAAGATTGGTACATATATCATCCATTTTCAGCCCTTATATAAGTGTATTTAAGGCTGTTCCTTTCCCTCAAAGCCCATTTCTAGCTGCAGCTCTCAGTTTTGGTATGTCACATTTTACTGATCAGTTCAAAATATTTTCTAATTTTTATTATTTCTTATTTGACCCGTGGGTTATTAAAAAATACATTGTTGGGGCGCCTGGGTGGCTCAGTGGGTTAAGCCGCTGCCTTCAGCTCAGGTCATGATCTCAGGGTCCTGGGATCGAGTCCCGCATCGGGCTCTCTGCTCGGCAGGGAGCCTGCTTCCCTCTCTCTCTCTCTGCCTGCCTCTCTGTCTACTTGTGATCTCTCTCTGTCAAATAAATAAATAAAATCTTAAAAAAAAAAAATACATTGTTGAAATTCCAGATTCTTGGGGGATTTGTCTGTTTATCATTTGTTATTGATTCCTAGTTCAATTTCACGGTGGTCAGAGGACATGGTCTGATTTGTGTCCTTCGAACTTCATTGAAATTTGCTTTATAGCCCAACAGGAACATGAGTAAATGTTCCGTGGGGACCTGAAAAGAATGTGCTTTCTGTGTCACTTCTTGCACACTCCATTTGTCGGTTAGGTCAGGCTTGTTCATCTTTTATTCAAATTTTCTTCCTATCTGCTGATTTTATCAGCTTATAATATCAGTTATTGGGAAAGGCTTATGCGGTGTCAAGCTGTGATCCTGAATTTGTCTGTTTCTTCTTCTTGGAGCCCTGGGATCCCATCTCTTTACTGACTTTGGTTGATCCGTTTCAATGGTACCATCGACTGCGTTCACTCCCAGGCGACTGTGGATGGTCACTCTTGTGCTCAAAGATGTTCCCCTCACCTGTGTGCTTTCCAACACTGTGATAGTAGAGATGTCCTCTAGGATACGGGGGGCGAGAGGCAGGTTTGGGAGGAGGGGTTGTCTGAGCCAGTCACCCGTGGTGTATCTATCTGAATATTCTCAGCTTCTTAAACTTTAGATTCCTTCCTCTGAATTCTGTCAAGGGATACCAGATAGCCCAGCTTCACTCAGCATAGGTCCCCGTCATTGCCAAGTTTGAGTCCACTAGCTGGGTGCACATTTCAAACCCCTCCCAGCTACTCAACGACTATCTTGAATCCAGGGTCTCTGGTGGATGTAGTGGTGTCGGTGAATTTAGTCCTACACAGAAGGGTGTTCGGATAGTTCACTGTTGCGGATCAAGCATCTCCAGGATCTGTTCCCCACACACTCCCGCATTCTCTCCCCACAAATGTGGTAGGTAGAACAACGATGTCCCAGAGATGCTCGCGTCCCAGCCCATTAAACCTGTAGATCTGTTACCTTCCATGGTAAGGAGCCAAGGGTAAGAAAGGGAAGTAGTATGTCCAAGTGCTTTGAAATCTGTAGCGGCTTGTTTGGAAAAAACAGATTTGTCTCCACACTGGTTGTCGTTACCACTCACTTGGAAGCTAAACAAGGCTTCCTTGCACTTTGTCACAAGCCTGTCCCGTGCGGCTCCCTAGAGGCGGGCTGAGACCAGTCAGCCGTCCACGGGGCTTCTGAGCGTCTTCAAGCCCCACCTCCCTCACCCTAGGCTGCAGAGACAGGTGCCATGTAGCAGTGTCCGTGGCTGCAGTCAGTCTGTCAGACCGTCGCAGTGCTGGGGAGGGCTCAGGTATGTACCCAGAGTTCGCCTTTGAACCTGACCTGGCAGGAAGCTGCTGCACGGTTCATCCTGACTGTAGAGCCTCTGTCACTGCCTCAGGCAGAACTCCTCCACCACTGTGCTTCCAGAAACACTGTGTGGCTGCCACCCCCAGCATGCTCTTCTGCCTCCACCGAGGGGTCACCTCTCGATGGAAGCTTAGGTCGTGGGCAGATTCACCAGCAGCAAGGGAGTCAGGGAAAGTGTAGTTCCCAAAAATTTGCCAACCTCCAGTTTTCTATAATTGTCTTAACAGAGAGGGGTTGATAGAGCATTAGGTGAGCCAATCTCTAAAATATGCCGCATATGGCCCGACTGGCAGCTGATATTTGGGTGGGCATAGGAGGGAAGTGAAGGAGCATGCCGTAAAGATCATTTCAGAGGAGAGCATTCCACGCGGAGGGAAGGCTCGCAGAAGAGGGAAGGGCACTGGCAGTGTTGAACCAGCCTTTGGTTTGGGGTAACTGACCAGGCCTAGTAACCGTGAACCTTCAGGTGGGACTTCTTTTTCTCCTTCCTAGGAAAATAAGGGAACGATGTAAATAATGTATTTCTTTCCAAAAGAAAAGACTAAATGTCATTAAATGTAAAGTACCATCAATTTTAAGACATTCATTAGATCAGGAACCCTAAGAAAGGTTCTGCCAACGAATGACAGGAAATACTCTGACTTTCAAGGTGCTGAAGGGTGGGAGGAGATGTCTGACGGTCCTCGACATGGTCAGAACAAGTAGATAAGGATCCGCGTGTCTTCTTGTGTTTGACCTTTAGTCCTTGGTTTCAGAACCGTGGAAGACCTGAAAAACAATGAAAGCCAATGGAAAGATTCCCCGCTGGCAACTAGACACCGCGAGATGCTGAAGCGCTGCAAAACTCAGCTTAAGGTTTGTACGGCTGATCGGAATCGTCACAGCCCAGCTGCGCAGCAGCCGTTTTTCTACCAGAATGTGTGCCTGGGCTGAGCCACTAGTGTCCCTCTGCCTCTGTCGTTCTTTCCCCTGAAGATAAAACACAGGACTTTCAAACCAGTTGATGATCTCACCCCGGTCTCCCTGCAGGATTTAAATCAGGACAGAATCTGCAGGTGCTTTGCCAGTGGCAGTGTGAATTCTTCCTGGTTTTATCGTCCTCGGTTGGCCTCCACCTGCCTCACTTAACCCTTCTGCGAGGTTCTCCCCCTCCACTGCCCCCCAGCTCTGTGACCCAGTGTCCCAGCCATGCATTTTCACAGTGTGTAACCGAGTGGATTTGTGGCCGTGGGAAGGACCCCCCCCCCCGCCTTGTCCCTCCTTCATTTGTCATTAAAAATGATCCACTGCACAGAACCTAACTGTGGACAGGAAGATTTCTGCCGGTGAGACGGATGCTGAGCAAAGGCTGTACAAGGGAGTGTAGACCGCTTACTTACGCATTTATCTTGTGTTTTTGTTCAAATTCTAAAACTGAGTATTAGCGGATTCTGGTTTCTGTTGGTTAGTAGGAGGATATGTGGACATTTAAACTTTGATTTCTGGTGCAAGTTAAGGTAGATTTGCTTTATTTACTAATACACAAGACCTGCTGAGGTGCACAGTACACCAGGAGCCCTTTTCTGGTGTCTGTAGACCCCCGTGAGCACCCCACAGACCTATCAGAAGGAGCCTGGAAACTGTTGAAATGGACACGCTGATGCGCATGCATGCCTGGGTTTCCTTCTCACAGCTGTCCTCTGAGGCGGGTGCGGGACCATCAGTGGACAAGCATTTTGTCCAGGGGCAGAAGTGGTGACCTGGAATTCAGATGCAGATCTGTCTGGCTTCTGTCCACTAACCATCTCTGTCTGACGCCCATCAACCCTGTCCCCCAGTCAAGCTATTTCAATCTGACAGGAAGAACTCCTCTTTGAACCTGAACTATGTGCTTAGCCTTCCGCCCAGTGGTTTGCATGGCGTACTTCTGTATCTCTCAGAACAAGGAAAGCTTTGGGGACGTGACCAGCATATTGTAGTTAATTAGAGACGAAGTTCGCGAAAACCCTAGATCCTCAAATCTCCTGGCCCGTTCCCTGGCCAGTCGACACTGCCAGCACTTGGCCACCGACTAATCTGTGGGTGGGGGCGTACCTCCTTCTGCAGAAACTGGTACGGTGCAAGGCCTGTGCTGACGCTGGTTTACTTGATGAGAGCTTTCTGAGAAGATGTTTGAATTTTTATGGCCTTCTCATCCAGCTGCTGCTCCGCATCCTGGACCCCGCCTATCCCGAGTGAGTGTGCCCCCCCCTCCTCCCCTCTGCCCTCCCTGTCTCGGCTGTGTTGTCTTCACTGTCCCTCAGTCGATAGATGAAACCCAAACCCTTACTTTATCAAGAATCTGTTCTTCAGTTTCTAGGTTGTACCTGTATAGACTACAAAATCCATAATATTAATAAGTGTTTTCCCAGTGGTTACAGTTAAGAAAGGAATGTCAGCACCTCCTAGTTTAATTCTGACCTGGTCCTTTTTTTACAAATCGGCTAGATTGATAGAAAAGGAAATCTATAAGTTGGAAACTAAAACCTGGAGATAACAGAGTATTAGGTCCTTTCAGGGACTGGGCGCAGGAAGATACCCAGCCAGTTTTACTAGTTTATTGTTTCTTTGAAGTCTCTGGATCGACTGATGTTGGTAAGTTTGGCCCAGCGCCCTCTGCAGGAGCCGAAAATATTGTGCAGCTCTGTTGTCTCAAAACAGATTGAATTGCATAAAAGGACCAAATATGACCCTTCTGTTTCCTTCCTATTTTGCTATATTAACCTTAACGGAAAAGCAGTAAGAGGAGAAACATCTCCTGCACACCCTAATCCATCCACTGTCTTCATTCTTCCCTGTTCGTTTCAGGCTCTGGTCTCCTGGCTCATGTACCTTCTCCGTATTTGTGTTCTAGGAGGCGTTTCCCCCCAATAAAATATTTAACTTGTAATGGCCGTGTCATAGTCCTTTGGGTTTCAGGTGCCAGGATTTTGTGTTTTTTTGGTTGGTCGGTTGGTTAGTTGGGGTTTTCTGCGGGGGGTTAGAGGGTGGTTTCCAGGTGCCATGGTTTTGTTCTGTAACTTGTGCTTTTATTCTCTTTGACAGTATAACACTGCCTTTAAACTCAGATGTCCCCAAGGTATTTGCAGCATTGCCTGAGTTTTATGTAGAAGATGTTGCTGAATTTTTATTTTTTATTGTACAGTAAGTGCCTTTGACATACTACATGGTTCTAATTTGTTTTTGTACATGGCTTGTACATTGTATTACGAACTACATTGCAGCCCTCCATTTTATGCCTGAAATTCTGTGTAACTGCTGTAAGCGAATGCTGCCTGGAGACTGGAAAAATAAATCCAGCTCTGGCACTAAGCCAGTTCCAATAATATCTTCAAGACAGGAGCAGGATTAACAATGCCGATAAGAATGTACTCTCTGAAAATTGAGTTGAATTTCTAATAATTGAGTATGTGTTTCTGAGAAACAGAAGGAGCAAACAGTTTATAAATATCTAAGTGAACATTCAGAAGCCAGAAATACCCACATCTATATTTTGTACTGAAATTTTTCTCAATTATAACACTGGAGAAAGCTTACAAGGAAATGGCTTGAGTTTATAACTGGCATTTGAAGTTTGTTTGTTTGCTTGCTTGTTTAATTAAAACAACTACCAGAAAAAATTTTTAGGGGCCCCTGGCTAGCGCAGTCAGTGGAGCATGTGATCTTGATCTCAAGGTCGTGAGTCTGAGCCCCACACTGAGTGTAGGGAGTACTTAAAAATAAAATCTTTTTAAAAAAAATTTTTTAAGTTTTTTTTTGTTTGTTTAAAAAAAAAAACCTCTTTTATGAACCTTACCCCATAATTTAATCATGGTGGCTTTGGTTTATTTCCTAAAATAATGTAAGTTACTGTAGCATGCTTTAGCCAATAGACACAGTAGATTTAAAGTCTGTCTAGTTGTAAAGTCAACAGTCATTTGAAACTCAGCAAGTTCAAGGGAATTCAGCATCTTGGCTTGTAGACCTATTGGCCCCTTCCCTTCTTGATGACCCCAGCATCTACCCGGCTAGAGCTTCTGGGAGCTTCATTTCTTACTCTTTTTGCCTTTCTCCAGATACTCTCCTCAGGTGCTTTATGAACCCTGTACTCAGGACATTGTGACGTTCCTTGTTGTGATGTTGTGTAACCAGAACTACATCCGAAATCCATATCTGGTGGCCAAACTGGTAGAAGTCATGTTTATGACCAACCCTGCTGTTCAGCCACGAACCCAGAAGTTTTTTGAAATGATCGAAAACCATCCTCTCTCCACCAAATTGTTGGTCCCTTCACTGATGAAGTTTTATACAGGTAGGTTCCGGGTATTTGGGTAGGCAAGGCCCTCTAAAGCCAGTGGGTGGGAGTTGCTCTAAATCTGGTAGCTAATATCCTGATGGTCTCTTCCAAGTGTAACCTGTTTAACCCTGCCACTGGCAAAGCAGGTCACTGTTGCTTAGTTTAGATCAGTGGACGTATCCCGTGGACCATTCTACGAGCTGGTCCCTGATGATGGGGCAGGATCCACTGTAAGTCAGATGCACTTGTAGCTACTTTTAAAAATCTGTCATATTAACTCAGAGTTTCTAGAGCACGAGTAAAACAAGGAGCTTGTTAAAAATGTTTATTTTTGAGCCCCACTCAGATCAGTGGAATCAGGATATCAGGGAGTCTTCTCTCATTCACTAAATCTATGAAGGTTTATTGAGCACCTGCCGATGGCCAGGCGCTGGGTCCCATTGGCGAGCAGACAGAGCACGCATCAGACTCTCTGCAGGGAGGTCCTCCACTGCTGGATGAATCGGATTCCGAATTGTTATGCTTCGTTTGGCTTTTGAACTACCAGTTTGCTTTCATCAAGGTGATGACTTTGAGACCCGTTGACCTGTCTGCCAGCAAAGGCATAGGATTGTACTAATGGCACATTTTCCTTCCAGCTGGTACGTGTTGCAGGAAAGGAAGTACGCCTTGTCTGTCCTCTGTCGAACCTAGCACATTCTGGGCACTCGGTGTCTTTAGCATTTAGTAGAGTGTACTTGCCATACTCTTGGGAGAAACACTGGCTGTCCGTGAGTGCGGCTGCTCGCTGTTCCTGCAGCCGCAGAAGTTTGAGGATTCCACTGTGTCATGACAGCCCTCAGTGTTAACCATCCTTTCCCTGTTGACCAAGACCTGCTCCTGCTCCTTTGGAGCTGGTGCCATCCCCTCTCTCTGCACTACTGAGGGTTCCAATGGTCCGTCTGCCTCCTTTGTCCTTTGTCACCACTGCTTTGTAACGTCTAGTAAGAGTTTGGCTGGCTGGCTGGCTCCGTTGGGAGATCATGTGACCCTTGATCTGTAGGTTCTGAGTTCAGGCCCCACGTTCAGTATAGAAATTACTTTAAAAAATGAGGAAAAAAAAAAGTTTTTCTTTCTTCCCAGCCTACCAATTTCCTCTTAATGCTAAAGCAAGTAGACAAGCGCTTGAAGTTTCGTTAACATCCTTGCTTTGGCAACAGCAGAGGGAACACTCCTGGGTAAAAAACCTCTTCTTCGCTCCCCTTAGTCCTGGTAGGGAGGACCTCCCTCCCTGGTAGAGAGAGCCATTCAGGTACAAATGATGAGTCACATGTGTACGGGACACGACCTCATTCAGTGTCTTGCACATATCAGGCTTAGTTGGAGATAACTCTGCATTTCTTAAAATAACAGTAAGGTTATCTCTTTTTACCCATTTCTTTCTTTCTCTCTCTTTCTTTCTTTCTTTTTTAAGATTTTATTTATTTGTCAGAGAGAGAGAGAGCGCACAAGCAGGCAGAGTGCCAGGCAGAGGCGGAGAGAAAGCAGGCTCCCCGCCAAGCAAGGAGCCCGATGCGGGGTTTGATCCCAGGACCCTGGGATCATGACCTGAGCCGAAGGCAGCGGCTTAACCGACTGAGCTACCCAGGCGTCCTGTTTCTTTCTTTTTAAACTTATTTTTTAAGATGAGAATACCTAGTGCTTATAACATAGTTGTAGCGAACTACACTAATCTACAAATACTGTTTCATCTCCCCATTAGCTGGTGTGCGGAATCAGCGCTATGAAATTCTCTGAGAATGTAAATTGGTAAAACCTTTTTTCTTTTTAAACTTTATTTATTATTTGACAGACAGAGACAGTAAGAAAGGGAACATAAGCAGTAGGAGTGGGAGAGGGAGAGGGAGAAGCAGGCCTCCCACCTAGCAGGGAGCCTCGATCCCAGGACCCTAGAATCACCTGAGCCGAAGGCAGATGCCCAACCACTGAACCACCCAGGCACCCGCTAAAACCCTTCTGAAGGGCAGTTTGGCAGTCCACACCAAAAGCCCTAAAAATGTATATATCCTATGTATCAATCAAGGTCCAGTAAGGAAAATAGTTGACCCTTGAGCAATGTAGGAGTTAGAGACCCCTCCCCCCCACCGTGCAGCCAAAAATCCACTTTCACTTTTTGACTCCCCCAGATTTATTAACAGCCTGCTCTTGACCAGAATGTTAGATTTGCTGTGTAGCGCCTTATCGGTAACATCAGCCATCAGTTAACACATCCCTTGTACGTTATGTGTATTACACACTATATTCTTAAGAGAAAGTAAGCTAGAGGAAGGAAATCGTTATGAAGAAAACCTTAAGGAAGAGGGACACCTGGATGGCTAAAGTCAGTTAAGCCTCTGCCTTCAGCTCAGGTCATGATTCCAGGGTCCTGGGATCGAGCCCCACATCAGGCTCCCTGCTCAGTGGGGTATCTGCTTCTCCCTCTCCCTCTGCTCCTACTCGTGCTCACTTGCTCGCTCTCAAATAAATAAAAATAAAATCTTTAAAAAAAAAAAAAAGGAAGAGTAAATACATTTATGGTCCCGTGTATATATTTATTGAAAAAAATGTGTAAGTGGCCCCGTGGAGTTCAAGCCTGTGTTGCTCAGGGAGCAGCCATATAAAGAACTAGTCAAGTAGATATTGGAGGACAGAAAGGCAAATGAGAGCTTTGGCATAAGGCAGGTTACGAGTTCAGGAAGCTGCCATCATCTGTCTCCAGAGCTGGGGGAACCCAAGGAAGAGGCTGGAGTTAGTAAACTAGCTCAAATGAGGACCAGGACAGAACGGGGACCTAGGTCTCCAAGGAAGGGCGCTGGGCAGCTGGTGTCTCCGAGGAGCGCAGGCTTACTGGTTCTGCCATGGTGGACCTGAGCTGGAAACTGGAAGCGGCTGGTGCTACGGGGAGAAAGAACCACTGTTGCAGACAGGAGCAGCCAGCCTCTGGCCAGGGACCAGGTCCCTGCTCGCCTGTAGTTTTCCAGTTCTCCTGCAGCGCCCCCTATTGGTGAACCCAACGGAGGGCCTGCTGGCAAGGGGAAGCCTGCAGAGCCCCAGCCCCAGCCTGGCGAAGCTGAGTAAAAAGGGCGGATTGGGGGCCGAGAGACAGCAACTAAATAAATAGCTCACCCTTGTGCATGCAAACTTAATCTCTAGTCATCTGTTCCGTGGGGGTAATTACGAATGCGTGCGCATGTTTGCAGTGATGCTGCAGCATCATTTATAATGCAGTGCGGGGAATGCTAAAAACAGCCTAAATTTCTTCCAGCTGTGGATGAATTAAGTAAATTACAGTTTATCCATAAAGTGGGTCTATATGAGCTGTGAAGAATAATGTTATTTACATTAAATGGTTAAATCATCAGAAGTAAAGAAAATGCCAAGTAATGAAGCAGTATATACAGTAGGACCTCGTGTTGGTAGACATCTGTACGATAGAACGTATACCACAATAGTAACAGAGAGACGGTTCGTTTTGAATGGTAGAACTGTGAATGGATTTATTTCTTTTCCTTTTTAAAAAATTATCTAACTGGGGCACCTGGGTGGCTCAGTCAGTTGAGTGTCTGTCTCCGGCTCAGGTCATAATCCCAGGGTCCTGGGATCGAGTCCCGTATCAGAGGACTGGGGAGCCTGCTTTTCCCTCTGCCTCTCTCTCTCTCAGTCTCTCATGAATAAATAAATAAAATCTAAAAAAAAAAAAAAAAATCTGAACTTAGTTACTCTGCAGTAAACATGTATTGTTAGTATTAAAAGTAAAAAGTGTTTAGTTAAATGTGTTTTTTAAAAGTTTTTATTTATTTATTTGACAGACAGAGATCACAAGTAGGCAGAGAGGCTGGCGGGGGTTGGGGGAGAAACAGGCTTCCTGCTGAGCAGAGAACCCGATGTGGGGCTCAATCCCACGACCCTGGGATCATGACCTGAGCTGAAAGCAGAGGCTTTAACCCACTGAGCCACCAGGCGCCCCTAATTAAATGTATTTTATACTCAGTAAGTGCCCTGGGCCTGTCACTGTGGCTTTGGAATAAAGCATGGGGGTGCAGGGGGGTGGGCCTCTTGGCAAATGCGTGCTGGGTCTGGCAGAGCCCCACTAGTAAGATCTGAGAAGCTCCTTTTCCCCTTTGCCACCAAGCGGTGTACCCTCTGGCCCTGGACCACGTCTGCAGTCCTAGAGAGATGATACCATACTAATAATAGCCACCACTCATTGAATCCTCACTAATCCTTTCACTTAATCGGCACAGCCATCATCAAGATGGGTGCTATGAATAAATCCCGTTTTCCAAATGAGGAGCCTGAAGCTTAGAAAGGTCCAGAAGCTTGCTGAAGGTCAACAGCTAGTGCATGGCAGCAACTTCAGCAGGTGGGCCTTAGCGTACGTGCTCTTGACTGATGCATTGTTACTGCTGTGGTAGCAGGGGACCAGTCCCCAGAGAGCCCTCCAGTGGGACACCACAAACAGCCCGCCACTCGTGCATCAACCCCATAATAAGTCCTGCTGAGGGGCTCCTGGGTGGCTCAGTGGGTTAAGCCTCTGCCTTTGGCTCAGGTCATGATCTCATGGTCCTGGGATCGAGCCCCATATCAGGCTCTCCGCTCAGAAGGGAGCCTACTTCCCCCTCTCTGCCTGCCTCTCTGCCTGCTTGTGATCTCTGTCAAATAAATAAATAAAATCTTAAAAAAAAAAAAAAAAAGTCCTGCTGATTGAGGTCCAGAGTCTCAGACGTGAACTAGAGATGGGCATAAGGACCAGGCTCCTCTTTTCTACCCCTAGAGAATATCCTAGCTTTGGAAATACTTAAGATCAAATTTTTGTTTCAAAAATAAAATTAAGTTCCAAAATCAGAGTACTTTATTTATACCAGCAGTCAGTTCCCTAAAGAACAGCTTTCCCAACCTGGCTACTCAGAACTTAGAAGAACACTGAGCTCTGAATCAACAAAGCCAGCATTAACCCAAGTAGATTGAGTCTCTGACTGCAATTATTTACAACGCTCCTACTGTGTGTCAGCCCTGGTTTTGATGCTAAGGTGGTGCAGATGGCTCGTGAGCCCAGTGTTCTCGTTGAGAAATAGACATGGAATCAATAAATAAGATAACTTTCAGACGGTGGGTGTGGGAGGGGCACGATGCTGCTTTAAGGAGCGCAGTCAGGGAAGGTCTCTGAGACGGTGACTTTGGAGTAACATGAGACGGAAGAGTGAATCATATGAAGATCTGAGCCACAGCATGGGCAGGCAACCGGGACAGCAAGTGTAAAGGCCTTGAGGCCTGGGCAGCTTAGTGAAATCGAACAAGAAGACCTACAGGAGGGAGCACAGCGAGTAGCAGGGCATCAGGCCCCCCAGGATCTAGTTCATTTCAGGCCTTCTAGAACTCGGACTTGGGAAGTCGAACTCGGGCTGCCACAGTTTCGAGGGAGCATGAGGAGTGAAGTTTTTTAAATGTTGGCAGTACTTGGCTTCTGCTGTGCCCAGGAAGTGGTAGAGGTATTATGGGCGATATTGAGGATATGAGAGGCTCTGTATCAGCCCCCCAGTGTCTTTCCCAAGTAGACTCCGTTTGCATCGGCTCTCCACACTTCAGTTCACACTATTTTTCATTAAAGATTTATTTATTTGAGAGAGTGAAAGGGCACACCCGAGCAGGGAGAGAATCTTCAAGCTGACTATCCACTGAGCGCAGAGCCTGATGCAGGACTCAGTCTCACCACCCGTGAGACCACGACCTGAGCCGAAACCAAGAGTCAGACGCTTAACTGACTGGGCCTCCCAGACGCCCCGGTTCACACTTTTTCCTGCAGTTAACAAAGTGATGCTTAGTTCGTTGTAAAGAAAGCTTGACTTGATGAATACGCACGTGTGCTTTTAGGTCTTTGTGCGATAGGTGTTAATTATCTTATGCCTCTCATTTTTAAATAACCTTTCTTGTCACCAAAACAATATGTTCACTGCAAAATGTAGGAAATACCAAGAAGAAAAAAGAAGTTATTGATAGTCTCTGCACTCAGAGTCTCTGTTAACATTTTGGTCTGTATTTTTGCCAGCCAGTATGTATGTGTATGTATGTATGTATATGGTGTGTGTGTGTGTGTGTGTGTGTGTGGTTTTAAATATGATTGGCCCCATTCAGTAACCTGTGTTTTTCACTTCCTGTATGACAAATATTTTTTCATGTTCTCCATTGGGCACTTGCATTTATGTTTTTTCTCTAATACAAATAGTAGTGTAGAGAGTATCCTGGGAGATCAGTCTTCGAACCTGCCTGCGTGTGTTTTCTGGAATAGAATTGGTGGGTCAGAGAGATGGGCTCGTTGGTGGTTTGTGATCCAAATTGTCACATTGCCTTCAAGAGTTTGTGTCCCTGTTCATTCTCATGAGCAGTCAGAAGGTACCTCTCACCCAGATTCTCACACGCAGTTTGGTCATTTTTGTAAAACCTGCGAAGTAAAAATGGTATCTTATTTTAATTTACATTTTTATCTTTTTCTTGAGCCTTATTGTCTTAATTTGACAACTTTCCCTCTTTTTATTTTTAATTTTTTTTTATTTTTTTAAAGATTTTATTTTTTTGACAAAGAGAGATCACAAGTAGGCAGAGAGGCAGGCAGAGAGAGGAAGGGAAGCACGATGCGGGGCTCGACCCCAGGACCCCGAGACCATGACCTGGGCTAAAGGCAGAGGCTTTAACCCACTGAGCCACCCAGGCGCCCCTCCCTCTTTTTAAAACTTGTCGTAAACTCAGGAACTTCTCACACTTCAGCCCTTTGTCTTTCGGATACCTAAGTCTAACCTTTGTTCCATTTTAATTAGCAGGACGGGAATGTCGGTGATGGGTAAATTAGTGACGAGCACATGGGATTTTACTGAGCTTGTCTCTATTTTGGTACATGTTCGAAAATGTTAATTATACAAAAGTATTTAAAATAATACAGGCATATTTCAGAGATGTTGCAGATGCAGACCCAGACCTCTGTCATAAAGCAAATACAAGAATGAAGGAAGTCAGATGGATTCTTCTCTTTCCCGATGCATATGAAAGTTACGGTTACACTGCTCTGTGGTCTGTTAAGTGTACATTATCGTTCTGTCCAAAATAATGATGTATATATCTTATTTTGAAAGTATTTTATTGGGGCACCTGGGTGGCTGGATCAGTTAAGCATCTGCCTTCGGCTCAGGTCATGGTCCCAGGGTCCCGGGATCGAGCCCCGCGTCAGGCTCCCCGGCTGCTTCTCCCTCTCCCTCTGCCCCTCCCCTCGCTCATGCTCGCTCACTTGCTCACTCTCAAAATCTTTTAAATAAGTATTTTATTGCTGCATCATCTGAGCTTTTAGCGAGTCATCATCACTGATCGCAGATCACCGTAACAAATACAATGATAATGAGCAAGTTTGAGATATTGCGGGGATTACCAAGATGTGACCCAGAGACACGAAGTGAGCAAGCGCTGTTGGAAAAATGGGGCCGATAGACTTGCTTGAAGCAAAGTTACCACAAACCTTCAATTCGTTAAAAAAAAAAAAAAGAAAGAAAAGAAAAAACAACGCAGTAAAATGAGGTAGGCTGGTAGTCACATTTAATAGGTATGTGACCCTTAAGAAAATTCCACCCGTTTTTTTTTTTCCTGGTCATTGATGAGTGGGCGCTGTGCCAGGGGTGCTAAGCCGCTTTGCGAGCCCAGTTCATCTGGTGGTGTGTCTTTGCCAGACCTTCACTGTGAAGCCTGTTTCTCCAGAACCGCCTCCTCATTTCTGTCCTGCCTTACGTGTGAGAGATAGGGGCACAGTCTTGTCACGTCCTGTATTTACAGATTTGCATGCACTCGGTAATATCCTGGGCGCAGTGACTGCTTTTAGAAAGGTAGATGGTCCCCATGCTTCAGTCCCTCTCTCTCTCTTCTCTAGACGTTGAGCACACCGGAGCCACCAGTGAGTTCTACGACAAGTTCACCATCCGCTATCACATCAGCACCATTTTTAAAAGCCTTTGGCAAAACATAGCTCACCATGGCACCTTCATGGAGGAGTTCAAGTGAGTATTGGGCGCCCGATGTCACCGCTTGTCGCTTGCGAATCACGGGTAGGGTGACGCTTAAATCTTTCTGAGCTGGTTCTTCTGGACCGTTGGCTTGGTCTCAGCCTCCTTTAAGTTTTCTAGATCATTCTGCTACATGTGAGCGGGTTAACTAAATGTCTGTGCTTGCAAGATATCGCCAAGCTTTAGAGCTGTCAAGACACTTTGGGGATGGTTTGTATACATAAAGAATCTATAAATATTCTGAGATGATCCATGAAGTGTTTTTTGGTGTTTCTGCGATTACAGTGTTAAGTGAAGTTGTCAGAGGACTGGAATGAGATTGTAGAGTGTTCTGGAATATGATGTCAAGCTTTAGATGCAAAATGTTAGGAAGACTTTAGATTTGGAAGGAAGGTTGGGGTTATTTCAAATGTCATTCTTTGTAATAAGGCCCTAAATCTTGATTAAGGATTTTTTATTACCTACCTGAAATTTTAGTGGCTCCTTAAATCTGGACATTAGTCATTTCATCTAAGTTACCGTAAAAAGAAAGATGCTTTTAAAAAGAAGGGAGATGAAAACGTTGAACTCTTGAATTGTTCTTCAGGAGAAATTTTATCCTGTCTGGTTGGATCTTTTGCCATTCCTGCTAGATGACTGAGCAAGTCTCGCTGTCACTTGTTAGCTGAGTTACTAGTCAGTATGATTTCGTGTTACCAGTGGAGAACCATTTGTTAGATAGGTTTCTGTAAAGTAAGCTCTTCAAGTTAATTCTCTTTCTGAGAATTTCTGTTATGGTCAGAATTACGTTCCCACAAACCCTGGCACCAGCTTAGACCACACAGGCCCATGTCTTGGTCTGCTTGGTGCTGAGTGGGAGTGCTCGCCCTGAACTTTGCTTGTTCTTGAGATCCAAGCTTCCCACCCTTGTTCGCAGGAACTTCTCCTCCCCAGGCATGGGCTTCCCGCCCCTGATTACACAGCAGTAGATCCTAAAGTGTATGGAGATCTTTGCTCTACTAATCTTACGGTTACAAAGCCTCATGGTGCACCAGCATCTGAGTGCGCCAGTGAGCCCTCCACTGTGACGAGAGATGCAGGACAGTTTTATAGGCTGGAAGCTTCAGGTTCTAGAAAGTGAGTTAATAATCTCCTGTATCAGTATCGCAGCTTCTAGCTTTCCTTCACTGCGACTTTATAATAAGGAATCACTGTATTGGTAATTCTCTTGTCTCTTATATGTGGGTAATTGTGCTTTCTTGGTGAGTTTAAACCTATTTTCTAGTCTGGAGGAGTGTCTTTTCTACTTAAAGTCATTGAGACAATGAGCCAGGGACGTGCTGGCAAACCTGCTCTCTGAAGAAGGGGGGGAGAAATTCAGCATTTGCTGGCTTTTCAGGCTGTACATACTCACATTGGTGCCAGATTGAAGCTCTCATGGGAATCTGCTCACAGAATCGTGAAGTACTAGCAACTGGCTCTCTTGACCAGGCAGGGTCCCCCCCAGTGCACCGCTGCAGTGAGCGTCTCACAGTTAGCTAAAAGGGGTAACATCCAAGGAGAGACTTCACAGACCTTGACCTCCGCCATATTGGAGTGGTGCCAGGGCAGTGGGCAAGCTTCCGGGGCCACGTGGTGGGTACATTGGGCGGGGCCCGTTTTCTTTGGGGTCTGCCGCCACCTTTGGCCTCAGGGCGCTGTATGACCGTGTCTACCGTAATTGCCTTTTCAGTTCGGGGAAGCAGTTCGTCCGCTACATAAACATGCTGATAAATGACACGACGTTTCTGCTCGATGAAAGTCTGGAGTCTCTGAAGCGAATCCACGAAGTGCAGGAAGAGATGAAGAACAAAGACCAGTGGGACCAGCTGCCCCGGGTGAGGACGCGGGGGGCAGCTGTGGCCGGGGAGCTGCCTCGGGCCCCGGGCAGAGCTCTGCTCCTGGGCTGCACTCGTGGGGCCCTGGTGACCTAGATCTGACTTGTCGCTACCTGTCCCCTCCCACCTGTGGGCTTCCGAGAGGTTCCCTCCGAGGGTTGCGGGAGGGATAAACGTAGACACCTGGTCTAAAGCCAAGAAATGAACTGAGAAGGCTTGTCAAATGCGTCCTGAAAACTTTCTTGCCTCCTTGATGTCAAAGGGCTTTCTTGGAGAAGCGCTTTTGTTGTCTGAATGTGTTGATGTCAATTTCCGAAAGTAGGAAGTGAATCCCTAGGATGCGGTGCCGACCAGGCGCTTGATCTGCTCGTGTGGTTTCCTTTGGACAACGGTGTGCCTCCCGTGGGAGGTTTTTCCTTCCAGTTGATCTTGGTTTTTGTGTTCAGTTATTAATGGAAGAGAGGGTCGTCTTGCCAGTTTGCGTGAGAAACTCCTGCCGCACCGGTGATGGCACGCTGACACGCTTTTCTGACATTTACTGCAGCCGTGTAGACGGTCTGTTCTGTGCCTGGTGTTCTCGGGCTCAGGATCAGAACTGCTTTCCAGAAAGAGTTCTCTTGGAAAAGTAGGGAGGACTGTTTTTTTCTTGACTAGCAATAGCATCCTCAAAACAAAAATGCTATCGAGCTTCTAACGCTTAAGATAAGGTAAGCACATAAGAAAGCACGTTTCGGAAAGGTTTTCATTCCCAGTATTCCTGCGGCTTTGATGGGAAGTTTACATCTTGCTGTAGCTCACATCTTACACCATAGACTGAAACCTCCTGGGGGCTTTGCCCAGGGCCCGTGAGTGCTGGATTCCCTGAGTCCGAGCTTCCACGCTGCTGGAACCCCTCTCATCACATTCTTGAGACAACGTGGTCGTTGTCCTCTCTGTCCTCTGTACTGCTCTGGCACCTGCCCGAGTCCGGCCTACCCTCTACCCTCGTATTTATGTCTAAACACCCATTGAATTGTTTTGCTACTATGCCTCCAAAACCTCCCTCCCGTGCCTCCCCACGTCCCACAGGCAGGAGGCAGCCCAGGCTCAATGCTCCGTGGCCTCCCTACACACAGTAGCTTTAAGAGAGCCTTCCAAGCTTACCTCGCATTCCGGTCCGTTGGATCCTGCCGGGACCAGTCCCCAGGCCCTTGCAGAACCGTCTGGGAAACAGATGAGGCCGGTTGAAAGAGCTCCAGATTTGGAGTCCAGGCTACCCGGGTTTGAAAACGGACACTGCCATGCCCTCAGAGTTCTGTATCCTTGTCCGTGAACCAGAGACAATCCCTGCTTTGCGGAAGAGCAGTGAGGAGGATTGTTGAAAGTTACCATGTAGTTCGGGATTGTTCAGCCCCTGTTTTTCTGTGTGCCTTGAGACACTCCTGTCCACAATTCTCTACTCTCCATTTTTCTGTATTGAAATCCTGCCCATTCTTTGAGTAAGGTCTTGGCTTGATCGTCCCTCAGGGTAGGACTACCCCAGTCGGTGCAGCTGAGGGCCTCACCTTTCTCGGTACCTCTGTACCCTCTTTATGCTAGTCGTGATGCTCGGCTCAGACCGGCTCATGCCAGAGACAGTGGGAGACAGGCCTGTGGCTTGATACCTTACCCACAGTCCGTGCACGCTAGCATTTGCTCATGAGACAACCGAACAATTCCTCTTGACTTCTCCATGTTCATGGATGAGAGACGTCATAAATAGTCCTGCACGATTGCTGTTCCCAAAGTCATGTAGACCTTGAAGTCCCTTTCTGCCGTCCACCTCCCTGCCTTGCCTGCTCCTCACTGCCCTGTGCTCCGAACGCTGGAGCATTCCGCTCCGGCGCCCCCTCCCCTCCCGACGCTCGCTGCTGAGGCTGGGGTCTCTCGGCGAGGGTGCTGGTTGGGACTCGGCGGTGGCAGGCCTTCTTTATCCTGAGAGACTGCACCATCCGTGGCAGGACATTTGACATCTTTGGCCAATGAGGTTCCCTCCTCCCGAGAGTCATCAGGCAGCCAGAAACACTCCCACACACCTGATGCCCCCGGCTCAAAGTCACTGCGAGGGGATCTCATCTGTTTAACGGTCTGTGTCTTAAAGCTTCCAGAATGTGTCTCCTCAGCTCCTATCTCTCCTGACTCCAGACCTGCCGCACCCACCCGCCATTGACCTGCCCCTCTGCCCGGTGGTCCAGTAGGGTCCCTTGATGGTGTCCTCCACATCTCCTCGGGTCTGCCCGCCTCACTGAGGGACAGCCACACTCTGTTAGATGCTTGGACTCGACACTTTGGAGTCTTCCTGATTCTTCTCCCTCAACAAACGCCTCAAGACTCGATCTTCAGATACCCGTGTCTGACTCTTGTCCCACAGCGTCTCTCACGGGGCCTGCTGTAGCCTCTCTGACTGGCCCCGCGGCCTCCACTGCTGTCCGGGTCCATACCGCAGGGACGCTGTTAAAACGTGTCTGCTTATTATCACCACTTGACTCCGAACTTGGCCACGCTTCCCTTCTCACTGAGTCCGGTCCCGAATTAGAGCGGGCCCCTGGCCCACCATTTTCCCTGTCACTCTCCGAACCACGTGGGCCTCCTCGCCCTTCTGTTGACCCGCGTGCTCGTCCCTTGGCTGGGAGCACTGTCGCCCCAGATTTCTGCCGAGTCTCCTCCTTCAGACCAACCACCTGCGTGTCACCTCCTTGGAGGCTGTCCCTGGCCACTCTTTCTCTCTTCTTTTCCTGCTTTCTTTTTCTCTGTCGCTGTCAGACTTGTTATGTGTCCGTGTGGCTGTTTGCTGATTGCTTCTCTCCGGGCCTGCGATCCAGGCTCCACGAGGCCCGCGAGCTCACTGGTCGTGTTCCGCGCTCCAGCGTCTGAAGGGGGGCCTGGCCTGGACCGGGGCCTGGAGACCATGTGCGGAGGAATGCGTGTGATGCGCAGACACGCACTGCACTACTTCTCACCTTGTTCTTGTGTCTTCCTGCTTAGACATGTGTTCTGTAGGCGCGTTCTGGGCCAACGGGGCAGTGGGCAGGTTACCCAGCATCGCTGCACCACCTCCCCCCACGCAGCCACTCAGACGGCCCTACCCCAGGGTCCCCATGCAGGGAGTCAGCTGCTCTAGTTACTTTCTGAGCCGGGATAAAAGAATTTCCATCTTTACTGCTGTTTCTGGGGATTTCTCCATCTCAGAGCCTTCAGTGCTCCACCTGGCTTTACCCAGGAGTCAAACACACCTTATTATCTTGTTTCCCAGCCCAGGGCAGAATTGGAGGAGGAGGACGGTGCCAGAGGCAAGCATGCTGACCGTTGTCGGGGGAGACAGCCTTGAGAGCAGGGCGAGACGAAACTCAAAATCTTAGCACTCTGTAGGCACTTGGTGTAGAGGCAAAACCTCTGGGCCTTGGGATCCTAGCATAGCACAACTCATGTTTTTAAAATAATAGTGCCTACAAGTTGTTACTCAGGGAGACGGACTATCCTTGATAAGCAACCGCGTGTATCGGGCAGAGGGAAGGTCCACTTACTTCATCCCACACGGAAGCTGAAGGTGACTTCTTTTATCACTGGGGAAACCGGGGCTCATGTAAGTGAAACAATGTGCCAGGGTCACCTTACCCAGATTCCTGAGAGTTCTCATGCTGAAAAGAATAAACCTCAGTTACCTGGAAAATTCTCTGGTTTGGGTTCTTCTCATTCCCTCAGCGTGTGGGTTTTGCTGTGCACTTGTCCTGTTTTCCTTCACACTTGGCATGCTGGTGAGCTCCCGGCTGGGGCTGACCTTGGCCTGGCCTCTGCTCCGTGTTTCCTAGGATCAGCAGCAAGCCCGTCAGTCCCAGCTGGCTCAGGACGAGCGTGTGTCCCGCTCCTATCTTGCCCTGGCAACAGAAACCGTGGACATGTTCCATATCCTCACGAAGCAGGTCCAGAAGCCCTTCCTCAGGCCGGTGAGTAGAAACTTCGAGGTGTTTATTTTGGGTATCAGATTTCATGGTCAGGTTCCGGCCTCTGTCGCGAAAAGTAGTCGTTGAGAGCCTGGACGTTTCAGCTCCAAGTTGCTAAGTGAAAGCTCGATGCTGATTTTGTTCCCAGTTCTGAGTGCTCTGGCGCTCTGGGGAGAGACCGAAGTCTGCTAACGCTTTCTTCCAAGATAACGTAATTCGCTTTCTGCCTACATAGCACATGGGATTATTAATGCCGAAGCTGTGACATATTTTTATCATTATTGATGCCTGTATTTTTTTCGTAGGAAAAGTAGAAAGTAGCATCCGTTGGAAATTAGAGTATAGTAAGTAGAAATCATTGATAATGGGAAGAGCTTTGGTTCTCCTGGTTGTAGCTTTGTTACGCTCAAGAAGCCAGAGGGTAATGAGAGCCATGATTCGGGTTTATGACAGATTGAAGGTAGTCAGGATATTTGGCCTTGTGCTATTAGTGAGACCTGGGTCCTGCTTCTGAAATAGAAACCGAGTGTCCTGACGGAAGACTGCTGCTTTGCATTGGCCCCCTGCTCTCCCAATGCCGCACAGGGTGGGTGCTTCATGGTGTGGCCAGGACAAGGGTGGGGAGGAAGGCAAGGAAGGGGCCAGGGAGCTGGTTGTTAATTGCCTGGAGATACGGAGACAGGTTTACAGTGGAACGTCATTTTATTTCTCATTTCTTCCAGTGTCCACGTTCAGCCTTCTGCCCCCCATTCTCACCACACCCTGGCCTGGGTGCCTCTCAGCGATGCCTCTCTCCTCTGTCTATTTTCCATTTCACAGCTCTTCGTGAAAGAGCGGTGGAACGTGAAACAGAACCGGGCTCATTATTGAAAGCATGCAAACACCACAACTAATTTAAACAAGACAGTTCAGACCCTTGCTTCCCTGGGGCTCGCAAATGGAATTTCTTTAAACTTTTCCTACAAAGCCCTGATAGTAAACACTTAGGCATGGTGGGCCGCACCGTCTGGCACGGCTCCTTAACTTGGCTGTTGTAGCACGAAGGCAGTTACAGACAATGTATGTAAACAACTAAGTGTGGCTTTTTCAATAAAACTTTATAAAACCAAGCGTCAGGCCAGGTTCGGCCTGCAGGTAACAGTTGGCCAATCCCTGCACTTAAAAACATGTCTTATTTTCTGTTCAGGAATTCCTAATTCAGTGAGGCTTTGATTATTAGGAAACTATGATAAATTATTTGAGATGGAATTGTGAGTGATTTCCCTCTTACCTGCTTCTCGGTGAATTTGGAGTGATGCTTGTTTTTCTCATGGAAAGCATGAATTTAAAGAAAAGGTTGTGTTCTGCTCATATTTATAGATATTCCACCAACCTGTGACATTATTAAGTGTTAGAATTACTAGATTAGAGATGGAGAATAAAGAAAGTTTTGAATATAAATGTCCTTCAGCGTTATGACTCACAGAACTTCTCAGGGATTCTTTAAAGATTAATCCAGCCAATTCCTGTTCCTCCACTGAAATGGGAGTTTTGGTCCTTCCCGCTTGTCTCAACAGCATGAAATGTCCTCTTACCCTGTGATTCCCTAGGAACTTGGACCCCGATTGGCCGCAATGCTGAACTTTAATCTTCAGCAACTCTGTGGCCCCAAGTGCCGTGACCTGAAAGTTGAAAACCCCGAGAAGTACGGCTTTGAACCAAAGAAGCTGTTGGACCAACTGACGGATATTTACCTGCAGCTGGACTGTGCCCGGTTTGCCAAAGCCATTGCCGACGACCAGGTCAGTGCCCGGGCGAGCAGGCCGTTTTGGGGGGACCCTGGGCCTCGGACTGCCGACCCAGCTGGCCGGAGCTCGTGTCTCTCTGGACTTCCCGGCAGACCCATCTGTCCCAGGGTTTTCCCCACTTGGAGTCAGGGAAGGCGACACTTTCCAGCTTGCGGTTTGGGAAGTTTTTAGTACATAAATGGAAATAATCACTGCGTGGGCCGGGGGAACTGGTCTGGTATAAATGAAGCTGAATCAGCTCTTTCCTTTGGGTGTAAAAACGCTGCTTTGGCTCCCAGATCCGTCTGCAGCGGGGTCCTAGCCTATCCTGCCAAGGGCCTCACGCAACAGATCCGTCACCTTCCCACCAGGGTCCAGCCTTCGCAGGGGACCAGGTCTGCTTCCCAAGCGCCCCGCATCAGTGCTGCTGTTACTGTGACTCCCAGTTTCAAACCTCACGTGGTCTTCCCAGGCTTCTCTCTGCTCTGTTCTGCATGTCGGCTGTGATGACACCCATTCTTTGTCATTTCCACAGCTAGTCCAAGCACCTCCCCACCCCTGACTTCTGGAGGTCTCATAAAGGGCTCCCCCATCCGCCATGTGCTTCTGGCCTGCATCATGGCGGTGTCCTCAGAGCTGACGCTTATCCGTTGAATACCAAGTTTTAGCCACTTGGCTTGTTTTTGTTGACTTAATCCTCACAAAATCCTCTGGTATAGGTTCTGTTAGGTTCCTCATTTTCACATGAGGAAACTGAGGCACAGAGCGTTGAAGCAGCTTGCTCCAGGTGGCACAGGGAGTATGGAATAGAGGCAGGGTTCATACCGGGCTGTCTGACCCGGAGTAGGTGCTCCCCCAGCCTCTCTGCCCTCTACTTAAAATACCCAAAAAGTCCCATGCTCATCTGTCTCTCCATCTTGGTTCACCCTATCTGTCCAGATATCTCTCACGTTTCAGGTTAACCAGCAGTAGGGCTTCTAGGAGGTTCTTTACCCATCTCTCATCCAAAGGAATGATAGTAAAGTAGAGGAGTTTTAGGTACTATTTTTTTAGTAATAGTTTTACTGAGATATAATTCACATATGTGGGTACTTCTGGATGTAAGCAAGAGAGTCGGTCTTGGCAGAGTGCCTACAAGGGGAAACACCACATAGGTCTAAAGTGGGTTTTCCGTAAAAAGTGGTGGTATAGGAGGGGTTAGGAGTTTGCAGTTACCGTGGGGGGTTGCAAAGATGTTTTTCTCGACTACAGCTCCGCAATACTGCACATCCTGACCTATGGACGGTAAGTGGCAGTCTGTAGTCCGATGGAGAAAGACGAAGACATGCCCCCATCTGGGTGGGGGTGTCTGCTTGGACGGTAGGCCGCATAGAGCCAGCCTGCACTAGTCCGCCCAGAGGCCGGGGTGTGAGAAGTCCCCAGACACTTCCACTCTTTACCATAAAAGGCTTGGAAGAGTCGAGTCGCGGGGCGTTGCTGGTAGGCCTTGCTGTGGCTGCCGGCTCAGGCGTGGGGAACAGGACCGTCCTGCCGTGTGGATAAACACAGCACGGCCGTGAGATGGTGAAGACCCAGTGGGGGACAGCGCCCGGTGATGCCCGTGGAGTGTGGTGGGGCCTGTGGTGGCACCAGGCTTGAATCGTAGACCGCAGCTTCTGCACCGTGGCCCATAGCTTTTCTTGAATTTCTTTTTTTTTTTTTTTTTTTTTTTAATATTTTATTTATTTATTTGACAGAGATCACAAGTAGGCAGAGAGGCAGGCAGAGAGAGAGGAGGAAGCAGGCTCCCCGCGGAGCAGAGAGCACGATGTGGGGCTCGATCCCAGGACCCTGGGATCGTGACCTGAGCTGAAGGCAGAGGCTTTAACCCACTGAGCCACCCAGGCGCCCCTTTTCTTGAATTTCTAAAGAGCCCCGCTCTGCTAGACTCGGAAAGCAAATACGCATGTGCCATTGTCACCATGGACAGGAAAACGTATTAAGTGTGATGTTTGTTCTGATTGTTGGGCATTTCCCATATATAGTGGCTGTAAGCTGATTCGGGTCCTGATGATCGTCTCAGAAGAGGGTTTGGGGGGCTGGGAAGGAAGGTTGGAAGTCCAGAGAGCTCCAGAGGAACAGTAGGGGAATTTTGTTTTCTCCTTTGGGAGCAGTGGTCTTGGTTTGATCTGGGATGTCCGGGAAGACCAAGGAAGAAGAAAATGGCGGCCCAGCAGGGAAAGAAACTCAGAAGCTTCTCTCCCAGTCAGCCAAGAATGGGCTAAAGACAACTGTCCGGAAAAGGGGACAGGGGGACCGGCGTGAAGAGCCGCTGAGTCTTATACTCACAAACTGGAGGAGAGAGCCCGTCGCCAGAGCAGGACTGGAGGGCAGCTATCCTGGAGCTGAGGGAGCCCGGGACAGGGGGGCCCTAGGGAGACCGTGCACCACACTGATGGCCACGCAGGACGGGCTCTCACGGGCACTCTGTGTGGACTGCTACTGCCGTCCGTTAGCACTGGGGTCTGTTAAAAAATAAAGAATAAAGAGGGGCATGTGGGTGGCTCAGTCAAGTGAGCGCGTGACTCTTGAACCGGCTCAAGTCATGATCTCCCAGTCATGAGATGGAGCCCTGTGTTGGGTTCCATACTTGGTGCGGAGTCTCCTTAAGATTCTCTCCCTTCCCCTCCGCACCTCCCCCTGCTCACACGCGAGGGCCCTCGCTCTAAAATAAATAAATAAAATCTTTAAAAAGTAAAATAATGAAAATAAAGAATAAAAAGCCCATCTGAAGTCACACTTCTGCTGTCCATCTTTCCTTTTTGTTTTTTTGTTTTTTGTTTCTTTTTTTTAATTGAGGTGAAATTCACCTAACGTTGAAGCATGCAGTTTGGTGGTATTTAGTGCATTCCCAGTGTTATGCAACCTCCACCGCTCTCCAGTTCTAACAGCTCATCCAAATACCACCCCCGGGAGGAAATGCCACACTCACGAAGCAGGCATCGTCCATCCCCCGCCCCCCATCACCCCAGCCCTGGGCAGCCACTGATCTGCTTGGTCTCTTCATTTTACCTAATTCGGGATTTACCTATTTGCCTCTTCTGGGTATTTCCTATAAATGGAATAATACAATATGTTACTTTTTGTGTCTAGCTTCTTTCATTTAGCATAATATTTTGAGTTTCATCAGTGTCCCGTACCTCGTTCCTTTCTTACGGCTGGATGGTCTCATTATGTGGAGCTCCCCTGATGGGTTTCTCTCTTCATCCATCGGTGGTCCTTTGAGTACTTCCCACTTTTTGGCTGTTAGAAATGGTGCTTTGCTGAACATTGGTGACCAAGTATTTGTATACCTGTCTTTGATTCTTTGGGCTATCCACTCAGGAGTAGAATTGCTGAATCCTAGCAGTAATACGATGTTGAACTTTTCAAGGACCTGCCCCACTGTCTGCCACAGTGGCTGCACCATTTTCCATTCCCACCAGCAGTGGACAAGGGGTCTCGTTTCAATTTCTTCACATCCTCACCAACACTTGTTATTTTTTCTTTTCTTTTCTTTTCTTTTTTAACAGCCACCCTAGTGGGAATGAAGTGGTACTTCACTGTGGTTCTGATTCACATTTTCATAACAAATTTTATGTGCTTCTTGGCCATCTGTATGTCTTTTTTGGAGAAATGGCTGTTCACGTCCTTCACCGTTTTTTAAATGGGTTGTTTGTATTTTGTTGTTGAATTGTAGGAGCTCTTCATATATTCTGGATACAAGACCTTTATCAGATACATGATTGTAGGTATTTCCGTGTTTAATTTTAGAATGATTTTGTAAGATCCTTGAGGACAAGAACAGCATCTTTACTGCATCTCTGACCCAACCCACATGAGACTCGAAGCAGCAGCTCAGTAATGTGCCTTTGCTCCATGCATTGATGCCATTGCTCCAGGAGGCTGAATGCCATGTCCCCTCATCATGGGTTGCCTTTGATTTCTGATAATGCCCACCACACTGCTCTTAGAAGTTGACTTAGAAGTAAGCACAAGTCAGTTGGTTAAAAACTCATCGTCGTCATTTGCGAAATAGGGTAGGTGATGTTTCATGAGGATAGCAAGTGGCCCCTTGTTACAAAGAGAAGCTCAAGGTGAAGTTGTCTCAGTCGCAATGCCCAATCCACAATACATGCCTGTGCACAGTATTTTAATTTTGGCCTCCCAACATCTTCCTATAATCTTTTGGCCACTTACCCCTGTGCCTCTCCCCCAAAGGGATGGATGGAGGCTTTGGCTTCCCGGCTTATAAGAAGGAGAGATGTCAAGGAAGGTATTTGCTGAATCCGTGTAGTAATTTAGTTTCAGAAAACTATACTGGAGGCTCTCTGAACTTTCCAGGATTGGACAGGATGGCTTTTAGGATTTCTGCCAGGCCGAGACTAGCGCATGCCCTTTCCTCTCTCTGCGCGTGGGTGCGTACAGAGAGAAAGCGAGCGTGTACGCTTACTTAGAAACTGAAGTTAAAGAAGAAAGGTTGAGGAATTTCAACCCCGTGCTCTGAAAGAATACGGGTATTGACATGAATTCACCCCATAGACATTCGTCTGAATCCTTGGATGGGAAGCGCCGCTCAGGGGTGACCAGGCCTTCGTGCGGAGTCTTAAGCTCGGTCCATCTCCTCCTCTGTTTGCATCACTGTCACTGAATTAACAGGTGGCCAGCGTTTTCGCTGTAAATGCAGATTAGGGTGTGCTGTGGTATTTCCGAACGGCAGCGATGTGTCTGAACTAGGCACTTGTGAGGTGGGTGTTACACCCCCGTTTTATGCCGGAGGAAACCGGGACCCAGAGGGGTTTGCCTGAGACCGCCCAGTAGGTAGACAGTGGAGCCAGAATTCAAGTCCCCGTTCATCTGGGTCTTCATGGGCACTTGTCCTCCACCAGCCCCTGTGCTCCTCTCAGCAGAGCACCTGACATTTAACAGTGTGGAGCTGAGAGCTCTGGAAGAAAGACTGACCATGAACAGGATAAAGCTCCTTTTGATTACGAGCCGTGTTGGGTTGTTTTCCCGTGTTGACCTTTAGGGGAAAGAGCTGACACTTGTCGCAGGCCACAGTGCCTTTCAAAGCCTCAAACAGACGCGATTTTCGTTCTCTTTTTAATATTTAAATTTTAGGGGCGCCTGGGTGGCTCAGTCAGTTCAGTGTGTGACTCTCGATTTCAGTGCATCATAATTTCAGGGCCCTGGGTTCGAGTCCTGGGTCGGGCTTCGTGCTCGGCAGGGAGTCTGCTTCTCCCTCTCCCTCTGCCCCTCCCCTGCCCATTCATTCTCTCTCTCCCTGTCTCATAAAGAAATTTAAATTTTAAAAGAATCTATGTTTGCTGTAAAAGTAATTCCAGAATTTAAAAATGCCCCTCCTTTGCCTCAACCCTGAAGTCCTGCTCCGCGGTACTGACCTTGCGCGGTCTGGTCCGGTTTATTCCGGTTTGTATAGCCTGTGTTTGTAGCCACGTGAGAGTGTTTAGATACACGGTACCTTCTCTGGGCTTTTTTAGAAAGACGCAAATGGACCGTACTCCGTACTCCGGGCATTTTCTGCCGCTTTTTTCCTACTTAAAATACACTGATGGCTCACATTGTCTTTCCTCGTTGGCAGAGATCCTACAGCAAAGAGTTGTTTGAAGAAGTGATCTCGAAGATGCGGAAGGCCGGGATCAAATCGACCATAGCAATCGAGAAGTTTAAGCTCCTGGCGGAGAAGGTGGAGGAGATCGTGGCCAAGAACGCACGCGCGGAAATCGACTACAGCGACGCCCCCGACGAGTTCAGAGGCAAGTGGGCCGCTCTCCTCCTGCTGAATTCTTTGAATGACCTGGAGACACGTAACATGAAGAGACAGCGGTCTGTGCTTTTCACTTTCGTGTGTGCTAGAGTTACTCCTGGAGACGCAGTGTCTGAAATTACGTTTGCCTACTTTTAGTTCCATTATAAATTAAAAGGGTGGGTCCTTATCTTGATATCAAACCAAGTAACGACCACGAACGTGCCAAGACCAGCCTTGCCTTTGGGAGAGGGGGTTTGTACTTCCAAAGGAGAATCCTGGAGGTTCTGAGATGAGGGGCTCCGGCCGCTGTCTCTCCTGCAGAGCCCTGGTCCTTTGCCTCTGTTCCTCCCAGTCCCAGCTCTAGCTGGCCAAGGGTGCGTCCCTCCCCCGGAGGCACCGTGGGTGTCTTTGTCTTATGCCCACGTCTGGCTGCCCTTGGGGGCCTGGTTGGGCCAGGTGATTGTTGTGTCTGTGGATCTAGACCTTTCCCTGACAGGAGGGTCTTTGTCTCATTGTCACCTTCAGTTCTGGGCGCTGAGATGACAGTTCGCTCTGCTCTGTCTCCGCAGACCCTCTGATGGACACCCTGATGACCGACCCCGTGCGGCTGCCGTCCGGCACCATCATGGACCGCTCCATCATCCTGCGGCACTTGCTCAACTCCCCCACAGACCCCTTCAACCGGCAGACGCTGACCGAGAGCATGCTGGAACCAGGTAGAGGAGGGCGCAGCCTCGGGCTCCGGGCCCACGTCCTGGCCCAGCCGTGGCGCCCGAGTCCCTTGTCAGAGAGCCATCAGAAGGGGCCGATGTACCAAATCCAGAAGCTTCCATAGCTTACGGCACTTCATGGAAAAGACACAAAGCATGCTTGGCTCTGATTCACTGTGGGAGGCTGGTCCTTATGTCCCGCTTCTTCCTCCGCCTTCCTGTCCGGGGGAGTGAATGGCCTTTTCTCTCCGTTTGTATAGAACCTCGGGCTCCATCTCCTAGCTGGAGGCCTCCAGCCGGGGCCATTGATCCTCTCCTTTTCTCTCCCAGTGCCAGAATTGAAAGAACAGATTCACGCCTGGATGAGAGAGAAACAAAACAGTGATCACTAAACCGTCCCCGTGCCCACCCTCCGCGAGACACAGCCAAGGCCGGCCAGGCAGGCGGGAGCAGCATCGGCGGTGGAGACGCCCTTCGATGCTTTTCAGCCCCGCCGGGCAGGAGACGCCAAGAGCCCCCACCCCCCTCCCCCAGAGTGACCAGACGGTGGAGACCTTCGAGGACATGGACGGCAAGAGGAACCCCATTCCTGTACATATATTTAAGTGACACACGTGGTCAAAAGCTTGAGGGACACACTTTACGATTGCTTGTGTAATAAAGCTCGTCTTCCTATGTCACCATTTGGGGCTTTTGCAACGGAAGTCTTTTAGCGATTGATGACCAGTGGGTCTGGGCAGCATCCCAAGTTCATCTCCCCCCACCCCCACCCCAAGCCCAATATCCATTGATTTGATTGTGATTAGAGAACCTTGGACATTTTGCTGCTAAAGAATCCTTCCCCCTCCTCCTCCCTTCCTGACCCGACTTGCACTGCTGTGGATTTTTTTAAGAGAAGCAAAAACAAAAAATATACTCCTTCCCCCCGGCCCTCCAGACATATACTCTGTGAGAGAACCGTGCCTGCGACAAAGTGTTAATCCTGGGATCGTATTTTTATATCATATTCACATATTTGTTTTTTTTAATTGGTGTTAGATGACATGATTAATAAAAAAGGCAAGATATTTTCAGAATTCGAATTTCAGTTTTTATTTTTTTTTTCTTTTGAAATGTCCCTTTAAAGTTTTTTTATTCTAAACAAAATGAAGAGAACCTGTTGCTCTGGTCCTTGGCATAGGCCTCTCGTAGGAGCCCGAGGAGCAGCTGCAGGGCAGGAAAAAGTATTCACATATATCAGGATTTTTACAAGACTTACGGTTTTGGGGGGAGGCGCACGCCGGGGGGGGGTGGCAGTTCCAAACCGTTACAGTTATCCTAAGAGGGAAAAGAAATTCCTCAACTCCGGAGTCTGTGAGTTCGAGGAAGGGGGTCATCTATAAGACGTATCCTTTGGGGCTTGCCCTTACCAAAGCAAAAATGGGGCACAGGAAACGGGGACGCGTGTCTCCCTGTAAACACACACAGACACACCCACACACGCACAGAACCATAAGACTTTTTGTATTACTGCTCCCGACTTCAACATACTTGAATTCTCGCATTTCCTGTGGGTTAAAAAAGGATCTGAAACCATAAAGTGTTTTGAGGAAATTAAGCTACGAGAACAGACTTTCTTTTTTTCCTTTTTCCTCCCCCTCCACAGACAATGTCCTCTGTTCGATTCCTAACGCAAACTACAATAAATGGTGATACGCATTCAGAAGGAACCTTCTTTGAGTCTCTTCTTTTTGTGGAAAGCAGAGGGGTGGGTGAGGAACCAGAGCCAAGCGAGCCTGCCCGTGGTGAATCCCGTCTGCAGCCAATTAAGAGTCACTATTTTTAAAATAAAACTTTCTCGCGTTTGTATCAGTCTCGGTTCTCATTTCGCCGATTGCGTGTGCGAGGGGCTGAGCTGTGTCGAGTTTGGTCTCTGCTGTCCCCAGCGTGGTCCCCATCGCCAGTACCTTTCCCCTGACTTCTCCAGTACTCCCTCAAGGCCAGCCCGTGGCACCTGTGCAATGCAGAAAGTGGGCACCTGCAGAGCCTTACCTTCGCCACACAGAGGCTTCTGCCCACATATGGCTTCGCCCTCTAAGAAGGCGATTCTCTTGGGGTGCCTGGATGGCTCCAAGGCTTGAGCCGCTGACTCTTGATTTTGGCTCAGCTCATGACCACAGGGTCCTGGGATCAAGCCCCAAGCTCTGCGGGGGAGTCTGCTTGAGGAGTTTCTCCCTCTCTCTCTGCCCCTCCCCTGCTCGCGTGCACACTCTCTCTAAAATAAATCTTCAAAAAATAAGACGAAAGTATTGTCTTGGGTGGTTTATAAGCGCATCAGGGTGTGAGGTGCAGAGAGGTTCGGTAACTGGCTCAAGGTCACCCGGTCAGTTAGTGGAAGAGTAAATGTCCAGGCTCCAAAGTCCGTGCCCCCAGCCCCGTATGACTTCTCTTGAGCAGACGGATAGTAAATCAAAATATATAATGCATTCGTTATCCCTCCATGCAGATACTTCCACTAATTTAGTTCACTTTTTACTAAACTTACATATGTATACATCTATAAAGCTGGGTTTTGGGGCGCCTCGGTGGCTCAGTGGGTTAAAGCCTCTGCCTTCGGCTCAGGTCATGGTCCCAGGGTCCTGGGATTGAGTCCCACATCGGGTTCTCTGCTCAGTGGGGAGCCTGCTTCCTCCTCTCTCTCTGCCTGACTCTCTGCCTACTTGTGATCTCTGTCTGCCAAATAAATAAATAAAATCTTAAAAAACAACAACAACAACTATATTTTGGGGGCTTCTATGCCTAATCGTTTATCCATCTTACGAATATGTATTATTATATCCTCTCTAACCAGATTATAAAGTCTTCACAGCACAGTTTCTGTTGTTTGCACGTCCCAGTGAATGTGATAAGACACTGCTGTATCCCTCCGTGTACCCTCAGCATTTTGAATACTCAGAATTCAGAGGTTTCAAGGATCTTCCACTGGGTAGGACATATTTTCTGTCTGTACGATTTCTAGGGGCAAGATAATTCATGTTTCTATTTTTCAGAGTTGCAAGGTTACTATTTTATAGAAACTTGTGTTTGATGCAATCGGTTAATTACGGATATTAAGATAAATTCCGAAATATTTTAAAAAGCAGGCCTTGGCTACAAGAAAGATGGTCAGATATGAAGGAAGATCCAAGTATCAGATGAGCCGAAGAGAAATAATCCTTGACAGATGATTAAAATAACTTCTTACTCGTTTTGTGACTCACTCTTCTGTGGGATTTTAAAAAGAGTTGATGAAATACCTTTTGAAAAAGATAGCCGAGCACGTTATTTTGTGCACGTTTTGCAGCCTTTGGATTTGATGCAGAAAGAAGTGGATTTAACCGTGTTTTGTTTGGCGTGGAAAGGAGACATAAAGAGGCCTGGTCTGACGAGGTTAAGTTTTCAGTAGAAGGAGACCTCCGCAGTGGCCTGTGAACTTGGCTTTGATATCCACTGGTGTTGGGCCAAAGGAAACCACGTTGGTTGTAGATAACTTGTCTTTTGTGGGCATATTCTAGGCACAAGGCAGTCTTCCATGTAATAATTCACTTAATCCTCAACAACTGTCCGGCGGAGATGGTGTCAGTGAGACGGGCACGCGGCACCAAGCCACGTGACTTCAGAGGCTGGTCCCTCCAACACTCCTGCTGTGTGGCAGTATCCCAGAATGGCCCAGCCTCAGAATGCCCAAGGACCTACAGAGAAGCAGCATGCCCTTCTGCAAGGGGCTTTGGCCTTGGGGTCAGCTCCAGACCTAACCCTCATGGGAACTGGTGAGATAACGTCAGTCCCAGTGCTTGGCTTGCCAGCCACTCACCGCCGAGCCCCAGTTTGTATCTCCAGCCCAGGCCTCTCTCCCGTGCTGCATACACCAGTCCTCTCTGATGCCCTCCGAGTTCTGAACTAAGTTCCTGTTTCACCCCCAACCCCCTCCTCTTTGTCTCCCCATCATGCTAAATGGCAACTCCATCCTTCTCGATCACTTGGACCAAAACCTTGGGAGTCATCTTGATTCCTCTCTTGTGCTCTTCTCCTACCCATTCTGCCCACAGATTTCTCAGCTCTACCTGCGGAATGGACCCAGAATTCAGCTACTTTTCACCAGGCCCACGGGTGTGACTGGTCTGAGGCATTAGCAGTGACCTGGCTTGCCGCGATAGCCTGCTGACTGCTCTTCCTGTTCCCCCCTTGTTCTCCTCTCTCGTAACAGCAGCTGGAGCGGTCTTGTTAAAACTTGCCTAAGATCAGGGCTGGCTCAGTTGGTGGGCCATGCAACTCTTGATCTCCGGGTCATGAGTTCAAGCCCCCCATTGGGCGTGGAGATTACTAAAACCAAGAAGCAAACAAACAAAAGCCACTTGACTAAGTGTCCATGCTCAAACCTCCCATGGCTTCCCAGTCCCCTAGAAATAAAAAAGATTTTATAGTAACCTAGAAGGCGGCACGCTCCCTCTCCATCATCTCTCTGAACATACATCCTACAGCTCCCCCTTCCTCCAGCTGCCAAGCCTCCCTGGCCTCCTGCTCTCCCTAACCGGAAGGCATGCCCCCCACACTGCGAGGGCCCTTGTATTTGCTCCCTCTGCAAGGAATCCTCTTCCCATGGATAGCCACCTAGTACACAAACCCCTTATGGCTTTAGGTCTTTGCACAACTATCACCTCCGTGAGTCCTTCCTTGTCCTTCCTGTTTAAAATTGCACTATTTGGGGCACCTGGGTGACTCAGTGGGTTAAGCCTCTGCCTTCGGCCTCAGGTCATGATCCCAGGGTCCTGGGATCGAGCCCCACATCGGGCTCTCTGCTCAGCAGGGAGCCTGCTTCCTCCTCTCTCTCTGCCTGCCTCTCTGCCTACTTGTGATCTCTGTCTGTCCAATAAATAAAAAAAATCTTTAAAAATAAAATAAAATTGCACTATTTGCTGTCCCTTGCTATTCCCTTTCTTTGCATTTTCACCTTAACATTTATCATTCACTAAATTAAGATATGACTTCTTTACAATCTATTTCCTCCCACTACCACTACCAGGAGGGCAGGATTTTAGTACCTGGAAGGACGCCTGGTGCACAGGGTCAGTGCTCAGTCCGTGTGTTGCATGAATGATCTCTTCACGTAGTTGTCATTCCAGTTGTACCATTTATTTGCTGCTGCAGAACCAGATCACCCCAAATTTAGTAGCGGGATGTGGTAACGGTGATTTTATCTCCGTTGGTTCTGGAGGTCCCAGGAACAAGCGTCCAAGAGGACCCGACAGGAGCTGTGACACCTTTTACAATGGAGGCTTGGAAGTCACACAGTGTGACTTCTGCCTTAGTCATAAGCCGGCCTGGATGTAAAGGGAAGGAATGTAGAAGCCACTACGTGACAGGAAGGTTGTTAGCCTCACACTGTAAGAACAGCTTCTGAAATGGGAGATACTGTTCTGGTCTCCTTGCAAAATGAGATCGACCACATTTCCCTCCCCCCGACAATTTACAGTCTCCATATGTGCAAAATACATCCATCTCTTCCCCCCAAAGACTCCCAGACTTCATCCCATTATGGCATCCCCTTGACGTCCGACGTCTCATCATCCAGAACAAGTCCAAGGGCAGGGGAGTCTCTCTGATGTGATTCTTTAGGTCCAGTCCCTGGAGGGCTACTCCTCTTGATTTAAAGTTCTGTGAACTAAAGATACAAGTTATCTACACACATGCGCACACACACACGCACACACGCACGCACACACCACACAATGATGGGACAGATATGGAAAAATCCTTATAGATGCTCCTATTCCAAACATTGGAAAATGGGAACCCCAGAGTCACTGGTCCGTCGTAATTCTGAAATCCCGCTGGCACCTGTCGCAGTTCCTTAGAGAGGAATCCGTCCTACAACCTACTATTTATTCACCGAGCCTCTCAGCTCCGCCCTCTGGGCTCTTGGGTTTTGCCCCTGAACCTTTCCTCCCTTGTCCATAACAAAACCAAATTGCGACCAAGTATGCAGTACACGTCTCAGTCTGTTTCCTGTCCGTAAACAGAGATTGGGTTCAGAAGTCTCTTTCTACATCGCGCTTTCTCTGCCGCCCTCCCTCTAAGTCAGAGGTACATTCTCCAAAACAATTCCCTTAGGATTTGGTGGGTTTGGTATGAATCTCCTTGGAGTTGACTCTATTAAAAGCTACACCCACAGACCTCTTCCGGATCAACTCTTCCCTATTTTGGATTTCTCGTGAAGTCCTTAAATCTTGCTGAGATGTTACAGGGGTTTGTAGTCACGTTCTTGTCCGTGTATGTGATGGTTTCTAAAGATCTAAGTGGCTTCTGGAGGCAACAAGAAGAAGCCAAGCGACACTTTCAGGGTTTTGCCTGGCAATCTCCTGACCTCGATCGTTGAGTTCCCTCCTCCACGTATACTCTTCCTCTGGCCTGGACGACGGCATTGCCAAGATTTCCACCATCGCATGAGAAGGGGCCTCCTTCCTTTGGCTTCCAATAACTTTTACTCACTTTCCTTTAAAGCCTCTTTGATGCCCTTTAGGCCAACTACCAGCAGCCTCAAGGCACCCCCGTCTTCTGTCCAGTGTTCAGTCTCAAAGCCAAGGCCACATGTGTTCAGCTTTGTTTCACCTGCTTCCAGGACCTAATTCCTGCTGCTAAACGATCACCCAAATTTAATGGCTTAAAACACCCACTATTAATTCATTATCAA